TGTGCGAGGCGGCGGCCTACGTGCGGGCGGCGGCCTATGAGCGCGAGGCGGCGGCCTAGTGGGATGCGCGCGGGCGGCTAGCGGGCTGCGCGCGGGCAGTACGATGGGCGGGGCGCGCGAGGGCGCACGAGCAGAGAGAGGCGCACGAAGGCGCGATTAAGGCAGGGTGCACGAGGGCGCTTCTTGCGGAACGATGGGCCCATAGTAGTAAGCGGTCCTAGGTGGCTAACCTAGGTTCGTAATACCATGTCAAAATGAACAAGAGAGAATGCACTAGGAAAGTGGTGGGTACAAGTAGGAATTCCTAAAAACTGTTGTACCCCATAGGAACTACCCCACAACAGCCTAAACATACTATAGCATATCAGTTTGACGCGTGGAACGGGCCGACCTGCAGGGGACGCCACTTCGGGAGCAGTTGGTTGCGATGCAGGTGGAACGGGCCGAGATGCCGGGGACGCCATCTCAAAACCTGGTGGTTGAGCCGGAGTAGTAACCATAGGAGAAGCCGAGGACGGTGCTGCTGGTGTTGACGGCGAGACATGTAGCGTCGTGGGTACAGTTTCGGTGACATCGAGTGGCGTTGAGGTGTTAATAACTAGGGCGACAATTGAGTCTGGTGGGGCGGAAGTTAAGGTGGGAATAGACGTTGCTGAAACGGGTGGATTCTTGCTACGCGGTGGAATGGTTGCTTTCGATAACGAACACAGCAACAGGTCTAGCCCCGTGCGTGCTATATCCATCTCTATGTCGTCAGCCTCCTCATCGGCAGCAGCACCATCAACGGGTGCAGCCATGGCGGGAGTAAGGACGACTGAAGGAGGGTGGAGTGGAGAGTCAGCCGAGAAACAGCGAGAACGAAAACAGAACTAACCTAACATAGCGTTCAAGAATGGGGTGAAAGGGATGGGGAAGGGAGGGTCACCACACCTCGTTGGTGGTTGACAGCCTCAACAAACCCCACCATGCAGACGTCGATGGTCCACTATGTGCCATCCACAAAATGGGATGGATGGGCCCCTTTTTTCGGTATGTGCCAGATTTGCCCTAACTTTACCAGCCATTGTATGAAATTTTGAGCTGGGATAAACTGCTGGATTTAAAGCATAAATCAGCCCTTAACGCACCCATATATAGAGCCTTGTGTTATGAAACCTAACAGTTGCCCATCAAATCAATACCAGCTCAAGCAACAGGTCCAATCACAACCTTTCCAGTTGCCCGCCCCGACTCGAGGTGCTCGAATGCCGAAACCACATCCTCCCACTTGAATGGGCCCTTGGGGTCCAGAACTGTTCGAATCTTCCCACTTTCGAAGAGCGGAGTCAGCTTCGCAAGCTTATCGCCAGTCGAGGTTACCACAAATCGCTCCGCAGGCGGAGAAGGATTTCCCGCGATGCAAATCACCTTCCCGCTGGGCTTCACCACCTTCACCCCACGGTCGCTATCCCCGATACAGTCAAACACGACATCGTAGAGCTGTGGCAGCGATGTGAAGTCTGACCTGTAGTCCAAAACCAAATCCGCTCCAAGACCTTCCAGAAGACCCGTCTTGGGAAGGCTGGCAGTGGTGGCCACGAAGCCTGCTCCGAATACTTGCTTCGCGATCTGCAACAGGTGTTACGAGAGATGACGTGGACGCAGGGACGTGATTGGAAAGACGGGAAACGTAGTCTTGCAGATACGAAACGGAATAACGTGGAGGAAATTGATCGTCAGTGGCTGCTTCCAAAAATAAAATGTCGGCTCGGTGCGTCATTTGTGCTTCGGTGTTCCTACACATTGATGTGTCCGTCCATGTTCCTCTGAAAGGGTGAACCCACTAACCTGGATAGCAAAAGTGCCGACGCCACCAGCACCATTTAGAATCAGCACTGACTGCCCCTTCTTTAACCCCGCGCGTTCAAACGCCTCTGTCGCCGTGAGTGCCGCAAGGGGGATACCTGCGGTGGCAACGACGAGAGAAGCATGAAATTGAGCGGGAGCAGCGGAGTATTGAGCGTGTATCGCGCAAAGACACGACGAAATGAGCAAGCGCGTTACAAGAGCCAGCGCCAGCGCTAGCGATTTCTTTCATTGCAACGGCAAACAGGCGTGGAAAATGCAGAATTCACTACTTCGGATTCTCAATACCTACCCGCAGCCTCGAGGAAGGAGAGATTGGCAGGCTTGAGAGCCAAGAGATGCTCCTCCACTGCAGTGAACTGCGCTAGAGACCCCACCTGCTTCAGACTGGGACGAGGGGTAAGGCGGGTGAAGGAGAAGGAAAACGGAACGATGGTGGGACGCGGGGAGGCGCGGGGGGTGGAAGGGGAGAGAGGGAGACGCGAGTTGAAGATGGTTTGAAGAGAAGAAAGAGGGTCAGACTATGGAAGAATGTACCAAATCTATTGCCTGGATGAGATGTACCAAAGCTAGAACAATTATACATAAACTTCATATAGAATGTCGCGGTGGCAAATGCTCGTAGGCATTGGTCAAATGTGGATATACGTGGATAATTGTGGACAAATGTGGATGAATGTGGAAAAATGTGGATAAACATGAGTAACGTGGCGTACTTTTCAAGCGCGGCCTCGTTAATGTCGCCGTACACCTCATCGCCGGCCTTGAGCGACTTGACGTCGCTGCCAACGCGCACCACCGTGCCCGCCACGTCGTACCCGGGAACAGTCTGCGACCAGCACGAGCACAAGATGGATGGGACGGGACAATTTTAACCATAGAGACACAGTCAAAGAGACAGTTAATCAACGGATACTGAAATTCGAGAGATGAAAGGATTAAAAATTGGGATGAGAACAAGGGCAGAATTACACGACAAGCGTCATAATATGCGACGCTTTAGAGATGCTACGAAGTCTGGAAAAGCTGGCGGGATGAGAGAGAGGAACACGCACCGGGAATGGAGAGTCCTTGGCAGGGAACTTGCCCTCTCGCCTCTTGAAGTCGACAGGGTTCAGAGCTCCTGCAGCTACGCGGATCAACACCTGAAAGGATGCATGAAACAGAAACAGCGCAGTCGTCTCGTTAATAAGCACGCCACAAGAGGGTAAGCTGATGGAAATTCCAGATTCCTGTCAATCAAATACTGCAAACAGTGTGTTGGTTTCAGTAGCTTGCCTGTTCGGCATCGACCTGATTGGCCACACACCTGGTTGGGCTTGAGCTCGGGCACAGAAACGTCTCCAAACGTGATGTTATCACGCGACCCGTACGCCGAGTACGACCATCCTTTCTGCACGCCGCTCGATGGCACGTCGGCATCGGAAGCCGCGCTGGCCTGCTGTGCGATGGTGCACATGACGCTCCTGCGACTGACCGTGACGGTCGCAGGTGAATCAGCGGCGACGAATTGGAGCTTCTTCCATGGACGCGAGAGCGGGACACCGAGAAATTGGCCTCGTGAAGACGGGTGAGATGCGGAGGCGAAGCACGCAGCCGACGGCGCAGCAAGCTGCTGCGTGGCTGAAATGGCGTGCGCCATGGTATGGCAAGGGAAGTTAACTAGAGTAACTCGGACCTGATAGAAAGCACGCGCGAGATATGCGCCAAGAAAACGAAATTCGTAAAGAAATGCCAAGAATGTGTGAATTGTAAAAACTGGGTGGGTGAAATACATGCGCCCCTGGCTGGACGCTTGGGGCGGGGCTGAAGGGAAGGGAGGGGGAGGGGGGAAGAGTGAGTGGGGGAGAGGGGAGGGGGGACATTGGGCAGCACGACAACCATGGGAGGTTGCGGGAGAGGAGGCAGCGGGGAAATGCGGAGCTGCAAAGATGAAAAGTTTCGGGATAACGGCGAGTCGTGGTTCTGTGTGTTACTAAGTTCTGGTATTCGGTATCCTGAGTGGGTGGCCGAGGGGGAGGGGACGAATCCCACCCAATTTGATGGGGAGACTGGTGGGCAATGGTGACATTCGGGTCGCTGAGGCTGAGCTGGGAAGTTCACCAACCACGTGGCCACACATGCCACATGCTGGCTACTCGTTGCTCGAGGAGGCGTTCATGGTCAATACTGTGTGACGTGTGTAGATGTGTCTGGAATCGATCTAGGTACACGTCACCTTCGAGAGTTCCCTCAGATTGGAGGGCCAGCGCATCAGCATGGGATTCCACCTCGGACCCAGACTGTACATATCCGCAATAGTGCGCACTTCACTGTATGGGCTTTGAGCGACTGTACAATACACTTCAACGAGACATAACTGAAATGTTACTGTCACCACACCTCCACAACCAATTGAATTTACTCCAAACACGTCCACGTGGGCTTCAACGACCGTCTCGCGGTATCAAATGCTCTCACGTGGACACACCCGCAATTCTCCCCCCATCAGAAGGTGATTCTCTGTGGATTTGCTTGCATGACTTTCCACAAGCGAAACGGGTTACGGTCAAACATACCCACGCCGAGCTTGTCACCAAGCAGAAAGGGTTTAGCGTACGACTGCAATCAGTCGCCAAATGAACCAATTGACCTTGAACACCCGTCATCCCCGAACCGAACCTCCAACCTCTGTCAGCCAGGTCGCACAAACGACTGCCACAGGTCGCAAACACAACCGCCACAGGTTGCACGCACAGCTCAGGACGCGGCACCTGTTTTCATTTAGGCAGGATCGATCGTTAGAGGGGATCAATGTGCCCCTTATACAGTGTATTTGCGACATCGCTAATGCTTGGTATCCGTGTTTCACGAGAGCTCGAAAATGTACAGTAAATGGGTACCCAAACTAGTCGCACCTGCAGCTCGCACGATCGATATGCCATGTTGCACACATCGATAGTGCGTTTTGGTTGGTGTGAGAGCACATCGCGCCACAGGTGACAGCCGCGATCGATCGACGTCGCCCACGGTCGCAGGCCAATTTTTTTTTCAAGTCGCTGCGAATGAAATTCTTGGGCGACCAACCAAGATTTTCCCTGATTGGCTGCGCAAATATTCCGACGTGGATCCAACCTTCCCGATCCTGCAATTTCGATCCTGGCACCTACAGCTCGATGTGTCTACCTCACAGCAAATTTGCAGTGTGGGCACATCGGTGTGCCGATCGATGTGCCAGGATCGATGTGAGGCCGCGATCCTTCCTCGATCCTTGAAAAATGCAAACAGGTGCCGCGTCCTCAACTTCTCTCCCTCCTCTCCTCCATCCAACCTCTTTTCCCCCTCACCTCCTCACGCTAGTATCACTCACACCCACCTCATCATTTCCCCACAAGCACACATCTCTCAGAGTGAATCAAATTCGTTGATATTTGTTTTCTTGGATTTCTTGTCCTAATGTCCCACTATCCCGCTTGGCAACGTCAGCCCACAGTAAAGCTCGGCCGTTTCGCGTAAAATTCTGGATTTCAGTTGCGCGGCGCTGTCTTGCCTAGGCTCTAGGAGAAAAAGGCTGTTATTGCGTTTTTCCACTAACAATTCGTTTTTGGCCTCTCGAGATATTTCCTAATCTTTGGTCCCATGGCGCTGTCGTGTCAGCACGCAGTGACGAAACTACCTTGCGCAGGCGAATCTTCGCCGCGCTGCAGCAGCCGCGCATCCGAATTCCAATCGCAACATCTCTCATGCCGAAACGCAGATCAATCATGTTTCACTCTTGAATCGCGACAGCTCGCCGCGGCTTACAACCACCCAACAGTTTCACGGCGACGCGACGCGACCCGAGCGCAGTGCTGCGGCTCGCACGATGCGTGGGGTTGCCATGGCGGGGCGAGCGGCTCGGGACGTGATAGCGTGGCATGGAGCATCGGATTCAAACCGTTTAGCCATGCGTTAAAGCCGTCGTCGATAACTGGAGGTATGTGAAAGGGGTGATGTCGTGGCGGTAGCGCGATCGTAGGGGCTCCAGCGAGATTTTTATGGGTTTACTTAAAATTGACCTGTGCGTATTTTTAAGTCGACCGGCTGGTGGCGCGCTCATGTATCGCCGTATCGTCTTTTTGCCATATCGCGACTGTTCTAAGGTAGTCATTTTGACCCGTCATATCGTGTAGTTTGCCGTTGGCAATCTTGTTTTTGAGAATTCTCAGAAACCAGCTCGTTGGTAATCTTCTGTCGATCATTCCATGCGCGTCTTTGTGCGGAAACCGCGCGTTTGTCCCTTCTATTCTAAACGCGTGCCTTGTTCCACCTGCACAAGCATCATGCTTAGCTTCGAAACCACACGTCAATGCATTCTCTGATGAATGGTTATCAATTCAAACTACCTGTTCGGACTTGATCTGTACAAACCATTACAGCGCACTAGGGCCCACCACTAGGGGAGATGTTCTTGCAGTCACTCTCTCCCGCTGTCGCATTCCTCGCCACCACCATCCCCCGTTCCCCATTCCTCGCACTTACTCAGACGCTTCGTCCTGTGTTGCGATCTCGTCTTGATCTCCGCTTAATCCCTCCTCCATCTTTCACATCTCCCCGCACCCCCCCCCCCCCTCCCTCGTTTCACTCCCCCGCTGTTCTCCTCCTTCCGCCGCGTCGCAGCTTGCATCCCCTCCGCCGCCAGCCGCCGCGTTTGCCCCCTCGCGTCCCTCCCGTATCCGCTCCGCCGTCCCTCTGTCTGCGCGTCCGCCTCGTCGTCCGACCAACCGTCTAGCAGCAACGCGGGGGAAGACGACTCTTCGCCTACCAGCGACTCCCCTTCTCCTAGCGACCCTTCCTCTTCCTCTCCCTCCTCATCTTCCTCCTCTTCCTCCTCCTCCTCAGCGTCGCCTTCCCCCGCGCCTTCCTCCCCCGACGACTCCGCCGCTCCCCTTCTCTCCGCCACGGACTGGCGCACCTTCCGCGCGCGCCTGGTCGCGTCCGAGCGCGCGGAGGTACGCGTGCGGCCGGGGGACGGCGGGGTGAGCCTGGGGGAGAGCCTGGGGGAGGGCGCGCTGGTGGTGGAGGGGGTGGAGGTGGGGGAAACGTGGGCGCACGCGCTGCTTGCCCCAGAGAAAGGCTGCCTGCTGGTCGCGTCCGAGCTGTTACACGGTTACAAATTCTTTGAACGCTCGGTCATTCTGCTGCTCTCTGTAGGGACTAGTATTGAGGACGGTCCGTATGGCATCGCCCTGAACAAACCCTACCGAAGCAGAGTGCAGGAGGTGGACGGGATGGACCCGAGCCTGTCGAGCACGTTCGGGCCGTGCCGCGTGCACCTTGGCGGGCCAATCGGGTGGCGGAGCGTGCTGCTGGTGCATGGAATTCCCGGGTTGGGCGGACACACGGAAATTGCCCCTGGGGCCTTTGTAGGAGGGGGGTTGCAGGGGCTACAGACGGCGCTTAGAGCGGTGAAGACCGGTAAAGCTGCAGCGGAGGATTTTCAGTTTGTGGTTGGGTATTCTGGGTGGGGAGGGGAGCAGCTGATGCGAGAGGTGGAGCAAGGGTGGTGGTATGTTGCGGCTTGTAGCAGTGATTTGCTGCTGAAGGCGGCTGGGCGGGCAGGGGGAGGGGATAAGATTGCAGGGGAGGAGGGTAGAGGGGGAGTGGGGGAGGGGAGGGGATGGGATCTGTGGCAAGAGGTGTTGACTCTTATGGGGGGTGATTATGCGGAAGTGGGGAGGAGATACAGGGATTGAGGGAGGGAGGGGATGTGGTACTGGTTGGTACAGGGGGGTATGAGAGGCGTATGTTGAGAGAGAGAGCGGGTGGTTTGTGGGTTGGAAAGGATGGTGGAGTTGGTTGGAGGAGGGCGGGGTGGGAGGGTTGGGAATGGTGGTGCATGGTGGTGCATGGTGGTGCATGGTGGTGCATGGTGGTGCATGGTGGTGCATGGTGGTGCATGGTGGTGCATGGTGTTGCTTGGTGTGGCATGGTGTGGCATGTGTCTCAGCCTATCCGGTACTTTCCCAGCTACGAGCAGCTTATGGGAAGGTAAGAACGAGGTGACCTGGTGGTCTGATGTACCAGGAGGAGGGAAATGGTGTTGGACTGGGGCCTGTGGGTTTCGATTTTTGAGTCGACTCAAAAATCGTCTCATCACAAATGGTGTTTGACTGGGGCCTGTGGGTTTCGAAAGGCAGTCAGAGGGGCTGTTACTCGGTATAGAGGGGGGGCTGTCAGAGGGAGCATGAATGGATGGACGTGTGTGGGTTGGCTTGGCTGCTCTCTTGTCTGTGCTGCAGCCTGCGGTGGAATTGTGGGTTGAGTGGTTTGGAGTGGAAAAGAAATGGTGATGGATGGGGAATGAATCGAAATGGTTTACCAGTGCTTGCTACGTAATGGTCGTGCTTATGTCATACAGTGCTATATTGATACGGTACGGACGGGTGTAAAAGCCGAGCTGTACAGTTATCTTCTGTCAAATGTTGTAGCCTGTAGTGAGGTTTGTCTTAGGGGGTACAGAAGTTAGGGTTTGTCATATGTACCCCAACCAACATCAATGCAACACCCATTCCTCATTCTGACATGGTATCAGCTAGATTAGGATCCTGTGGGATCCCGTTCCTCCGTTCTCCGTTCGTACCTCCCGAGCCTGATCCTACCTCTCGTTCGTACCAGTTTCGTAGTTACCGCGCCTAGTACCGAGCCTAGCGTCATCTCCCCCGTCGCGTCACGCCTGTTCCCCCCCGTCGCGTCACGCCCGTTCCCCCCGTCGCGTCGCGCCCGTTCCCCCCGTCGCGTCGTGCCCGTTCCCCCCGTCGCGTCGCGCCCGTTCCCCCTGTCGCGTCGCGCCCGTTCCCCCCCGTCGCGTCGCGCCCGTTCCCCCCGTCGCGTCGCGCCCGCCTGTTACCCCCCCCGTCCCGTCGCCCTGTCCCGTCGCGTCGCCCTGTCCCGTCGCGTCGCCCTGCCCTGTCCCGTCGCGTCGCCCTGCCCTGTCCCGTCGCCCTGTCCCGTCGCGTCACCCTACCCCGTCGCGTCGCCCTGCCCTGTCCCGTCGCCCTGCTCCGTCGCGCCGCCCTGCCCCGTCGCGTCGCCCTGTCCCGTCGCGTCGCCCTGCCCCGTCGCGTCGCCCTGCCCTTTCCCCCGTCGCGTCGCCCTCCCTAGGCCCTGGCCTGTCGCCCTTCCTAGGCCCTGGCCCGTCGCCCTACCCTAGGCCCTGGCCCGTTGCCCTACCCTACGTCTTGGCCCGTCGTCCTAGCCCGCTCTTCCGCTACGACTGAGTCCTCTTCCCCCCCCGGTTGTTACTCGCCTGTTCGTTCTCACTATGGCGACTCCGCGAGTTCTTCGTTTCGACGCCGACGGTAGACCCCTTGACTTTTCCGTCTGGCTTCTTCGCGCTCGTCGTCTGTTAGAGAGTTAGGTCCAGGGGGGCGAGACCCTCTGGTCACACGCTACTGGTGACCTCCCCGAGCCCCCCGAGCCTACAGCTTTAGGCCCTGCTCCTGACGACGCTGCTACGGCTCGCTTTGCCCGTCAGCGCGCTGACCGGACGGCTTGGACGTCGCGTGACGCTGCGGCCTGCATCGCACTCAGCAGCCTCCTCCCTGAGTCCGAGGAGGTCCACTTTCCTCAGGTTCGCACCGCTGCTGCGTACCTCACTGCGATTAAGGCCCGCTACTCTACTCCCGCTACTGTCTCTCTCGGCCGTCTTTTCCTCCCGTTCCTGTTTCCTGATCTTGCCTCGTTTGAGCGCTCTGCTGACTTGATCGCTCACCTCCGCTCGCTCGACGCTAGTTACCGCGCTGCTTGCACTGAGGCACAGCTTGCACTGCTTCCTCCCCCCATGGCGATTACTGTCTATTTCATCGCCACTAGCCTCCCTGACCGCCTTGCCTCCGTTCGTGACGCGCTTCTGCTGAAGCACCCTAGTGAGCTGACTATCGAGGTCCTTGAGTCTGCACTCAAGGACGTCGAGAGCAACCTTCGTTCGGTAGCTGCCGCCTCTGGTACTGTGTCCCCCCCACTCTTCCACGGGTGCACAGTCCCGCAGTTACCCACCTTCACTGCCTCTCTTGCCACTGCCGCTACTGACGCGACTGCGGCTGCTGTTACGACTGCGTCGCGGTCCCGCGGCAGGGGGGGCAAGAAAGGTGGTTCCGGTGGAGGTGGAGGCGGAGGTAGCGGAGGTAGTGGGGGTGCTGTTGCGACTGGCGGTGGTGGGAGTGCAGCGTCTGGAGAGACCCCTCGTGCAGCGGCCGGTGACTCCACTGCACCTGCTGGTGGCGGCGACCCTCGAGCTCGTCAGTCGCCTCCTGTACTGCCGGCCCCGCTAGGTGGAGCAGCGGCGTGGTACCAGGCTCAGCGTCAGCAGCACCTTCAACAGCAGCAGCAGCCCCTTTCCTCCCAGCAGCCTCAGCAGCAGCAGCGTCAGCAGCTGGCTCCGGGGTCGGGGCTGCGTCAGCCCCAGCGCGGTGCTGCTTACCCTCCCTGCCCCTACCAGGTGCAGACAGGTCCTCGTCGGGGCCACCCTTGTGGCCGCTTTCACCCCCCTGGTCAGTGCTTTGCTCAGCTCACTGACACGGTCCGGTTGACCTACGGGGTTGGCGGTCCTGCTCCTGACTGGCTTCCTCTGGTTCAGCGCTACGGCTCCGCTCTGTGGGGCATGTCTGCTGAGCAGTTAGTTGATCTGATTAGTGCTCCTCATGCTATGTATGCTGTTGTTGACTCTAGTGTTTCTGACTCTGTTTACTCTGGTGTTGTTAGCTTAGGTGCTAGTCTTGCTGAGTTGCCTGTTGCTAGTGTAGGTACTTGTGTAGACTCTAGACCAGCGACTACCTCAGAGGACGCTTCGCTGTCGTTCACACTGGACTCTGGAGCCTCCCACTGCTTCTTTCGGGACAGCACGACACTTACACCACTTCCTGCGCCTGTTTCTGTAGCGTTGGCTGATCCCACTACGGGACCAGTCACTGCACGTCACACTACCACTTTACCGTGTCCTGCTGCTCCCTCCGGGTCTCTCACTGGGTTTCACGTCCCCTCGTTCTCCCGGAACTTGGTGGGCGTGCGACCCCTCGTGAGCCAGCACGTGGGTGTGTGGTTTGAGCCTTCTGGAGAGACTGCGGTGTGTGTTGACGGAGACTCTTACCAGCCTCTTGCTACCTTTACTGCTGAGCCGGGCTCGGGTCTCTACACTCTTCACACTGGCCCGCGTGCGCCGCAGCAGCAGCCGCAGCAGCAGCAGCAGCCGCAGCCGCAGCAGCAGCAGCAGCAGCAGCAGCACCAGCACCAGCGGCCGCACCAGCAGCCCCCCCTACTGCCACTGCCCCCGGTTCCCCCCCCCGTTCGGGTCCCCGCGTCTCACCAGGTTGCTACGTCCCCCCAGGTGTCTGTGTCGTGTCAGGTTCCTACGTCTGTTCCAGTCGCTGCGTCGTGCTCCTGCCGGTCGCTTGCCCACCCCACCGTTCTGTGGCACCACCGGATGGGGCACCCGTCCCTTCCACGTCTGCGCGCTATGTCTAGTCAGCGTCTTGTCCTAGGCCTCCCACGTGTCTTGCCGTCGCTGCCGCCTTCGCCTGCGCCGCCGTGTCGTCCCTGCGTCGAGGGTAGGCTGCGCGCCACCCCTCACTCCTCCTCCCTTCGTCCGGCCACCGAGCCTTTTGAGACGCTTCACTTGGACGTCTGGGGCCCAACCCCTCGTCTAGGCCCTGAGCGTGAGCGTTACTTTCTGGTGGTCGTTGACGACTTCTCCCGCTACACCACAGTGTTCCCTCTGGCGAAGAAGTCTGAGGTGACTTCTACGCTGATCAGGTGGTTGCTCACCACCGAGGACACTCGTGGTCGTCGTGTCAGCTGTCTCCACTCCGACCGTGGGGGTGAGTTTCGCTCCGGCATTCTCGCTGGATTCTGTCGCGAGCAGGGCATTCGTCAGTCCTGGACGCTTCCAGAGTCCCCACAGCAGAATGGGGTTGCTGAGCGCCGCATAGGCCTGGTCATGGAGATCGCCCGCACCTCCCTGACTCACGCCTGTGCCCCCCATTTTCTGTGGCCCTACGCGGTCAGGTACGCCGCGCACCAGCTGAACCTCTGGCCACGTGTCTCTCGACCAGAGGTTTCACCGACCAGTCTTTGGACAGGGTCCCCTGGTGTTGCGTCGCGGTTTCGTGTCTAGGGGTGCTTGGCTCTTGTCCGCGACACCTCCGCGGACAAGCTCTCGCCTCGTGCCGTCCCCTGTGTCTTCCTTGGTTTCCCTGAGGACTCCTGTGACTTCACCTTTTACCACCCTCCCTCTCACCGGTTCTTTGACTCCCGTGACGTTCGTTTCGAGGAGTCCACTCCGTACTACGTCAGGTACCCCAGTCGAGGTCTCCCGGTTCCTCCCCCCCCTCTCTTCCTGACTGCCGTTCCCCCTCCTGCTCCCCCGGTACAGCCTCCCCCCCCTGGTCCAGCCCCGTCAGGTGTGTCCCAGGCTACCCCTCCTCCTTCGGTAGCCCCTCCGGTACAGCCTCCCTCCCCACAGTCCTCCTCGCAGCGTGCCGCTGGTGCTAGCTCTCGAGAGGTTGGTACGGCGCCTGTTCCTGTACCGGTTTCTGGTTCTGGGGGTGCTGGAGTTGGAGCTGGAGTTGGAGCTGGAGTTGGCACTGGAGTTTCTGGTTCTGGGGGTGCTGGAGTTGGAGCTGGAGTTTCTGGTTCTGGAGTTGGAGCTGACCCGGTGGGTGCAGAGGACTCTTGTCGTCCGGGAGCTGGTGCTGGCCGCGCGGACACTGGGGATGCTGCGTCTGGGGGTGAGGGTGCGCCTCCTTCGGGTTTAGGTGAGCCTGGGTCTGGAGCTGGTGTTAGTGCTACCTCTGGGGGTGGTGCGCCTAGTTCTTCTGGGGTGGACTCTGGAGCTGCCGCTGCTTCGGACACTACTCCACCCCCCCACCCCTACCCGACTAGGCACCAGGCTCGTGTTCGCCGTGCCCGTGACGAGCAGCTGGCGTTGGAGAGAGAGGAGAGGGAGTTACAGCGGCTGGAGGAGCAGCAGCAGCAGCTGGAGCCGCAGGAGCAGCAGCAGCAGCAGCAGCAGCAGCTGGACCCGCAGGAGCAGCAGTCCCAGCAGCAGCCGCGTCCGCAGCAGCAGCAGTCGCAGCCGCAGCAGCAGCAGCCACTTCCTCCTCCTGTCTCGGGTCTTCGGATCCTTGGTCTCCCCTCCCCTTCTCCTCCCTCCTCCGCCTCTCCTCCTGTCTACGGTCCCACGTTTCCTCCTCCTGACTCCTCCCCCGCTGTTTTCCCCAGTTCTCCGCCCTTGTCCTCTTCTCCTCCGTCTCGTTCTTGGGCTACTCGTCGCTACCCTCGTGCTCGTCCCTCGTCTCCTGTTCCCTTCACTGACCTTCGTACTGCCTTCCTTCTTTCTAGTCCACCTCGTCCGTCTCAGTCTGTGCTTCCGTCTCCTCCTGAGTCGGCCCTCACTGTGTCGCTCCCTACTCCTGTCACTGACTACTACCGCACGTACCGTCCTGTTCTCTCTCGTGTTCTCGCCTCTCTTGTTACTCACCCTCGTGCCTCTGTGTCCTCTGTGTCCGCTCTTACTGCCGCAGTTACTGACTTTGCCTCTACCCGCCGCCTTGACTACGCCACCACGCTTGTGGCTGCTCCTCCTACCAGTCCTCTGGCCGTCGGGGGTGTGTCTGCCCTTGGCCGTGACGCCCTAGAGGACAGGCAGTTTGAGCTAGAGTTCCTGGCGGCCGCTTCCCCTCATCTCTGTGCCATGCTCCTCGCCCCTGAGGGTGACCCCGACGCCCTTGACATTCCGACTCCTCGCACTTACGCTGAGGCAGTGTTAGGGCCTTGGGCCTCTCAGTGGAGAGCTGCCATGGACGCAGAGATGGCCTCCTACAGATCCACAGGCACCTACGTCGATGAGGTTCCCCCCCCTGGGGCGAACGTAGTCGACGGCATGTGGATCTACAGGGTGAAGCGGCCACCGGGATCTCCCCCGGTCTTCAAGGCGCGCTACGTGGCTAGAGGTTTCAGTCAGCGCGAGGGAGTTGACTTCTTTCAGACCTTCGCACCTACCCCGAAGATGACCACTCTTCGGGTGTTACTACACGTAGCAGCACAGAGAGACTACGAGTTACACTCTCTTGACTTCTCCACTGCTTTCCTTCAGGGCAGCCTACACGAGGAGGTCTGGTTGCGTCGTCCCTCGGCCTTCACTGGCACCTTCCCTCCTGGGACCCAGTGGAGGCTGAGGCGACCTGTTTACGGTCTTCGCCAGGCCCCTCGTGAGTGGCACGACACTCTGCGTTCTACCCTCTCTGACCTTGGGTTCCAGCCGTCTTCTGCCGACCCGTCGCTGTTCGTTCGTCGTGGCTCCACACCGTTCTTTGTTCTGGTTTACGTCGACGACCTCGTTTTCGCCACTCCGGACAGGGTTGCTTTGGCAGACGTGAAGTCCGAACTGCAGAAGAGACACACGTGCACTGATCTTGGTGAGCTGCGCCACTACCTTGGCCTGCAGATCACCAGGGACAGAGCCGCTCGCACCATTACACTCTCACAGTCACACATGGTGCAGCAGGTCCTTCAGCGGTTCGGGCTTCAGCACTCCACCGTACAGCGCACACCTCTAGCTGTTGACCACAGACTCACTGGTCCCTTTCCTGACGAGCCGTTTGAGCCTAGTGGTCCCTACGCAGAGCTTGTGGGTTGCCTCATGTACCTGATGACTTGTACTCGCCCGGACCTCGCCTTCCCTCTCAGCATCCTTGCGCGCTTTGTTGCGCCAGGGAGACACCGTCCTGTTCACTGGACGGCAGCTGTGAGGGTGGCGAAGTACCTAGCGACTACATCAGGCGTGGGGCTAGTTCTTGGAGGGCAGCAGTCTGTCGTACTCACTGGTCACTGTGACTCCTCTTACGCTGACGACGCTGAGACTCACAGGTCTACTCAGGGGTACTGTTTCAGTCTAGGTTCTGGAGCTGTTTCCTGGCGTTCCACGCGCTCCTCTTCTGTCTTGACCTCTACAGCTGAGGCTGAGATTTACGCTGGTGCCATGGCGGCACAGGAGTTGCGGTGGTTGACCTTCTTGCTCACTGACCTTGGTGAGCGGCCGAGCTCTGCACCGACCTTGTTTACTGACAACAAGGCGTCGATCCTCCTCTGTCGTGAGCCGCGACTGGAGAGCAGAGTGAAGCACATTCACGTCAGGTACTTTCTTCTGCGAGAGTTGCAGAGGCGTGGACAGGCTCGCTTCGAGTTCGTAGAGTCCGAGGCCAACACTGCAGACATCTTCACCAAGGCGCTTCCGCCTTGTGACCACCAGAGGTGTTGTGTGCAGTTAGGCCTTGTTGACACAGGTTCTAGTCATGCGTAGACTTGAGTTTATTGCCTGCTTCGTCTGTACATTTACTATATATACTTGTGATCTCTTGGACTGGCCTTGTGGCCACTGTTGCTTGTGCTCAGAGTGTGTGGTGACGTTGTGATCCACCCTGAGCTTTGTTTTCTTTTGGACTGGTCTTGTGACCGTACTCTTTTTGTTTTTGCTAGACACCCCTCACTTAGGCTATGGGGGTGTGTCAAATGTTGTAGCCTGTAGTGAGGTTTGTCTTAGGGGGTACAGAAGTTAGGGTTTGTCATATGTACCCCAACCAACATCAATGCAACACCCATTCCTCATTCTGACATCTTCGTAGTAGTTAAGTTTGCCTGTTTTGGTGTGGAGCTGCCTTAGCATTAGATATATCTAGTTCTGTATGTGAATGCATTGATATGCACTGTCTGTTGCTAACATAGTAAAACAAAATACCACAGAGTAACCAAAGGGCAGTTGTAGTTGTGACGTTACTAAAACAGCCCAAAAAATCATGAAGGTGCTGATGCTGCTGAAGTGACAGGACAAGCCCTAATATTTTAGAGTACTACTGTAAGTAAGGGCGTGTTCCTACGGCCCCTTAGCAAGCGACCTCTTGTCAGACTTGTGCGGTTCAATGCGTTTTAATGCGATCGAATGTTGTTACGTGTGTTTTCAGTGCGGTGCGACACGGATCTGACAAGAGGTTGGCCTGATAAGAGGCCATAGGAACACGCCCTAAGAAGCATCACCACTATCAGCGTACTGTACGACGAATTAACCCATAATCAATCTATCTGAGCAACACCTCCTCTCCACTCCACAGTCCAGCCAGCCACCCACACATTCAAATCAAAGTGGTGCCCAAGCAAGGAGAAGCAAGCAGCAGCAGCCGCAGGAAAGCAACTATCAGCACTGAATCAAGCCATACTGGCCATGATGAGATGAGCGTGAGAGAAACGCAACTTGGTGGTTGGTTAATACAGGTCGCCCTAACTTAGTACGGTAACCACTGCAATCCGATCCCACTGCTGCTCTCTCTCTAACTGTTTCCTGTGTTTCCTGCAGGTCTGCGTTTCCTCCACCCCTCTTTCACATGGCTTTTCTCCTCCTTGGCTGCTGCACTGCTTGGAACCACAGGAGGGGTGGAAAACCCCCCTCCACTCGCACTCCCCCCACCCACTCCTGCACTCATACTCACACCAGCACTGCCAGCACCACCACCAGTGTCGCTACCACTAAATCCTTCAAAGCACGCAGCCACAGCAGCAGCAGCAGCAGCGGTAGCAGCACGAGGTCGCTTGTTTCCCGCCAGGGAGGATCTACCGCTATTAGAGCCACCTCCCCCACCTCCTCCTCCACCTCCTCCTCCACCACCTTTTCCTCCTCCCCCCCCTCCTCCGGATGAATCCACTTTACCACTGCCACTTCCGTCAGTGAGCAGCTTTAGAGGCTTCGACTTGGGGGCCCTATTGTGATGGGGAGTGACAGGAAAGCCACGCCAGGAGGAGCAAAATCAGTGCCTGTTTTGGAGTCCACTTTAGAACAAAAACAGGAGTTGGACTCAAAAAACGTCAGTGAGCAGCTTTAGAGGCTTCGACTTGGGGGCCCTGTGGTGATGGGGGGAGTGACAGGAAAGCCACGCCAGGAGGAGCACAACTAGATTTCTGTGAGAAATGCCACGGCCAGAAAGGGGAAGGTGAGGAACACCAAGGTCAGAAATGCCACGGCCATAAAGGGGAACGTGAGGAACACCAAGGTCAGAAGGCGTGTGCGAAAGCAACTGCATTTATGTCAAGGAGAGCAGTCATAGGACCTTCGCCAGCCACTATACCTGGCTCTGCTGTCTTAACAGACACTTACCGTCCGTGCAACAGCTGCTCTCTAACTTAAGGACGGGTAGATAGAAGCAAGGTCTGATGCCAACTAGGGAAACCAACTATAGATCTAAGCAGCCGCAGCCTTGTGCCTGCCACTGTACCTTGCTCCGCCTGTCTCCATCGCCCGGGCAACGGCTGCTGCAGCCGCTGCTGCTTCCGATTGCGACCTCTCCTGCGCCTCACTCGCGGATCCCCGCGCTTCCTCTTCCATGCTCTGGTGAAGGCACATGGCGTGTCAAGTCAAGGCAACCAGTCACGGGTTTGGGGGATGGAGGCCGTGACAAGGCGAGCAGGAGGAGAGAGTCGGATGACGCAGAAGGAAGAATTGTGGGCTTGTAAAGAACAGGGAGAGGAGGGTGAAACATGCGAGGAAAATTGTGAAAAGAGTCCGTCCAAGCCGCATAGAGAGTTTTGTTTGTCAGCAGATTTCAGGCCTTTTTGAATGCTGCGAGTTTCTGTGCGTTTACAGTACTCCCAAGTCCTCTCTTTTCTCTTCCCATTCATCCTCCCCTCCCCGCTGCCTCCTTTGCCCTACCCTCCTCCTCCCCCCTACCCCTCCAAATCTCCTTTTTTTCTCCTCCCCCTCCCCCCTCCTCCCTATCCTCTACCCCTTCCCCAGCTCCCCCTCCTTCCCTTCCCCATGCGCGCACCTCCACGTCCTTTTGAATCTGCCAAATGACATGCGACTCATGCGAGTTCTGAGACCCATGAAACTCGGTTCTGAGGCGTCTCATAATTCCCCATGCACGCACGCACGCACGCACGCACCTCCACGTCCTTATTGAAACTGCCAAACGACATGCGCCCCATGCGCCGCCCTGGATCTGGTTGCCCCTCCACCACCACTCGACTGGCAGGAGTGGGGGGAGAGGGAGAGGGGGCCAACAGGGGGAGAGGGGGCCAGCAGGGGGAGAGGGGGCCAACAGGGGGAGAGGGGGCCAACAGGGGGAGAGGGGGCCAACAGGGGGAGAGGGGGCCAACAGGGGGAGAAGGGGAAGTTCTTGTCAGTGGACCCACCCACCCAAGGGCCAAAAATACTGACTCAACTGATGAGTCTAATGCCTCACTCTTTTTGTCCCTCCCTCCCTCCCCCCCTCTTACCTCCCTCGCACTCCCTCCTTCCGCTCCCCCCTCCCACTCCCCTTTCTCACTCCCCCCTCCCTCTCCCTCTCTCCCCTTCTTCCACTCCCCACCATGTGAGCCGCTGTCCCGCATGAGCCGCCCCTGGCGCAGCAGCGGCGGAAGCAGGCGCGAACCACCGCTCCTCCTCCGCCGCTTTGTTCGCAGCGGCTGCTGCCGCGTGCGTTTGGACGTTTCCCCTGAATACCGCCGCTCCTGCTGATGCACCCCCCGCTGCTGGTGCAGCGGGCGTCGCCGGGGAGTCTTTCGGTTTGCCTCGTTGCATGAACTGTCCGCGGGAGACGGCGCGCGGAAATCAGGGAGCATGCAAAAGAGGGAGATATTTTCGGGGAGGGAGGGGGGAGGGGGGAGGGGGGAGGGGAGAGGGGAGGGGGTTGGGGGGTAGAGTTTGGCGGTGGCTGGTATTTATGTTTGCGGATCTCCAGAAATGAAGAATAAATGCATTATGCTCCTTCTAAGCTGATCATGCCGAGCATATAACACACTCAGTAATTTGTTAGAAAATGTTCAAACGTCAGCAGCCGTCCGATCTGGTCCGCACATCGCTGTGGTCTCCTCCGTCGTCGTACGATAAAGAGCGACGGCCGTGTCTCTCGCATCGTCGTGAACCGCATTCGCAACCGCATTCGTGATGGCATTCGCGCTCGTCGATTTTCTTAAAGTCGAGAGGCGATGCTCACCTTCATTTGCTGCAGACGGCCTGACAGCTCTCGTTTCGCCATGGCGTGACTATGCGTGAGAGAATCACTCCTTCCAAAACCTTGAAAAAAAGTCGACCCTTCGAGACGAGTCAATCAAGAATGAAACCACCGCTCAGGTAGTAGCGGGAGAAATGGTGGTGCTAGAAAGCGCAGCTAAAATCGTACGAGGTGTTCGACTGAAACAAAGTCTGTCGCTCTCGTGCTCGTTCGGAGCATGAAACCAGAGCAAGTAGAGGGTGCCGGGTGGGTTCATCGTGTGACTTAAGACGTCGCCCCCAGAGACAAACACGGAGCGGTACCAAAATTAACCCTGAGGAGCAACCTTTCTGTAATCGCCCTCGTTATACTGCGCAGTCTACATTCAAAATGCGGAATATAGAACTTGGTGTACACCATGCTGCCGCCTTTGACAGACTGGGTTGTTCAACCATTGGAGGTCGAGTCAACAACAGCTTAGGGCGGGTCTGAAGTGAATTTCGACGACAGCCGACGAAACTTTCGTCGACGTTTCTCGACTAAACTCGACATCCGTTTTCAGCTGTGTTCACTTCAGACACCCACACGACAAAATAACCCACACGTGCCATCGGAACACTGCTATAAGTTGCCCATGAAAATTCGACGTGGAATTAACAGAATCATTAATGTAACTCAATTGTTTGCAATCTCGCGAATTTCGCTTACCATAGATTGTTGCTGGTAACACCGGATATTCTACTGTCACATTGCCAGCGAAATTTCTCTAGCACGTGTCGTTCTCGTCTTCGTTCTTATTCACGTGTGTTTGCCACAGCTATGCAGACATGGCGTGTCGAAGAATTGTTTTTGAAACACTCACTGACTACAGTAACTCAAATAGCTGCCCGGTATCACTGTTCGACATCCCTCGACATGTGCATGAACGTCGAGTTTCGTCGAGGGATGTCAGGCTGCACTTCAGACACCAACACGCGTGGGTCCCACGGATGAGTTCGTCGACGAAATTTGACGAAACTCGACGTTTGCACTTCAGACACGCCCTTAGGCAATCTTTTTGAGCGCCTGCACAAATGTTGCAAGCAAGCTGATTGGCTGTGAAGGGTCAACTGCGCCACTATATAGCCACGTGTGCCACGCAAGGCCCACTCCAGCGCAACGAATTCAAGGATTTCTTGTGGCCTGAGACTGGCATAGGCTTGTTTTTTTGCAGTGCTGGATGAAGTTGTTCGGCCACGGTTATTTCTTTTGTGAAAGCAAATGGTGCACTGTACGTGTAATCCATCCGGCTTGGACGAGGAAACAAATATTTTTTAACGTGGGTTGACAATAGGCTTCGCAACCAAACCTCGGGAACATTTTCGCCAAGAAACAATCCCCCAGCGTTAGGCGCAGGCCAAACTTTAGGGCGCGTAACTTTTTCCATTTTCGTCAAATGTCCGGACGGAGCCTCAAAACCTGCCGGACGGAGCTCCGTCCGGACGTGTGGGAAGCAGGCCGTCCGGACCACAATTGTGCACCTTGTTCCCCTTACGAAAATATAGAATCTTGCCACGAACAATAACACGCATTACAGAAATCGTAAAGCACTTAGAGATTTAGCAACCAAACTTTTGCGGCATCCTATTGGTTGAACAATCGTTCAATTCGTGAACAGATCACAGCGCAGACAAAACGAACCGTCCGCAATGCCGTTCGGACGTTGTCAGCAGGTTAGTCCGGACCAATTTTTGGCAGAAAACTGTCAGATTGAGTCCGGACGGTAACGACGTCGCAGGGGGTTTTGCGAACATCTAAATGAACTGCTATCAGATAAGTTACCCTACGAAAGTCCGGATGGGGCCTCCGTCAAGACAATGAAAGGTGAAAAAGTTACGCGCCCTTATACGCCCATCAGAGAGGCCAGGGCATCTCATTGTCTGACCGCGCTTCCGCTCAGGTCTATTCTGTTCACTGGTGGTCCCCTCCCCTCCCCTCCCAGTCCAGCCCAACAACCACCCACAGAAATCGCGGTTTGGGGTGGCCTGGGTGTTCACTTCAGATGCCGCACCGAACCGCACAGTGCTCCTCAGTTGCGCACACACTCGCCGCACATTTCAGGGCTGACACACAACACATGCGCTACGTTGAGTTGCATTGCTTTCGTCACACTCCCACCCAAGTACGAAACATTCACATCACTCACCTCCACAGTTTTCCCACAAACAACAACAGAAGCTCGTTTGTTCCTCATTCCCAACCCAACCACAAGTAGAAAATCAAGCCACCGTCGTATCTCGTCTCAGTTTAAGCACCTATACTGTCTCGTCCTTTACTGATTCGTTTCCACCTCTGAAAATTAGTCTTCCCGTCGACAGCTTTTGAGATAGCAACCAACCATGCTCCATGCATCGTCAGCACCGGTGGTAGGGGCGGCCGCGCCGCGCTCCTCAACCCTTCCCTTGCGCACCGCCAGCGCACTCACACCGCTCTCCCGACAACTACTACCATTTCCCATGAGCCGAATTCCCGGAAATTGCGGTCGCGCGGCTCGGCAGCTGGCCCCTGCGAAACACTTGCCGACAGGATTAACAGTTGAATGCCGACTAGCAGAGCCCACGAACCAGAACCCGGCCAGGCGGGAGATTCTCCTCGGCATGGCACGTATCGGCCACGACATGATGATTCGAACACGACGAGACGCCTTTTGCAGCTCAGCTTACAGCACTGGTAACGGTGCAATGACGTGGTCTCCGGGCAACGCGGGAGACACGGACGGCAGTGCAGATGCGTTCCATGTGACGTCGGACGACTCGTCGTCGGACGAGGAGAACAAGGCCGCGCAGGCCATTGAGAACGTCGAAAACTCGGTGGAGCGAGTAAGTCGTCGTCTACCCAGTCCTCTACTAGTAGTAGACTCAATCGCAATCACAAACGATCTCATTTGTTCACATTCTATCTCGAAGTCCTGCTAACTAGATCATCCCTACTATCATCGCCACTTCCTCCGCAGCGTATCTTCGACTGCCGCTTCCTCACGCTGCTCGCCGTCGTGGGCTCGCTCGTTGGCTCCGCCATATGCTTCATCAAGGGCTGTCTCTTCGTTCTTGAGTCGCTCGTCGAGTTCGCCACGGCGTGGTGGGGCATCGGATCAGGCAACGTCATTCTCCTGCTCGTCGAAGCCGTCGGTGCGATGCCTCTCCGTCTGCCACTGCCTCCTTACCCGCCCCCCTCCAAGTCGCTTCCACCTTTTCGTGCATCACACTCATTCACATTTACAGACTCGTTATTGTCGTTTCTATTTTGCTTTCTCAATTTTCTCCTCTTCTTTTCCCGCTCTTCCGTCCGATGTTTCTAACGCTTTTGGAGTCCATTCCCGCGTTTCTAACTCGTCTCTTGCGCCGTATTTTCTTCCCGTTGTGATGACCTTTTATGCAGACGTCTACCTTATCGGAACGGTCATGCTAATATTCGGCATGGGCCTCTACGACCTCTTTATTCATAACTTCAACGTCGAGCCCGCTACCACCGGTGACTCTGGCGCACACCGCTCCGCGCACGGTGCAAGCTCCGTCAGCAGGTCGGCGGCGCCCGCCGACCCGTCTCTCCCCACCCACGCGCAGCAGCAGCAGCAGCATCGGGGGCAGCAGCGCGGGAAAGGGCGTGCGCGCGGAGCAGGAGCGCGCAGGAGCCTCGGGTCGAACCTGTTCGGGCTGTTCCGCCTGCAGTCGCGACCGTCGTGGCTGGAAGTGAGCTCGCTGGATGAAATGAAGACTAAGCTAGGCCACGTGATTGTGATGATCCTGCTTGTGGGAACGTTCGAGAAGAGCAAGAAGGTGGTGGTGGCTACGTCTATGGATTTTCTGTGCTTCTCTCTGGGAGTCTGCTTTGCTGCTGGCTGCCTGTTTCTGCTGACGAAGCTGCACCTGCACCATGGCCAGGAGCATGGCGGGCAGGGGCATCATGGTGGTGGCCAAGAAAAATCCCAGGGTCAAGGGCACGGTGCTGCTGCTGCTACTGCTGCTGCTGGTGTCGAGCATGTGAATGGGCACGTGAACGGGCATGTGAATGGGCATGTGAACGGGCATGTGAATGGGCATGTGAACGGGCATGTGTACATGCATGCGTACGCATCACCAGAGTATGTGATTAGCGGCGGAAATAATATGCATCAGCGTGGGTGCATGGTCGGCTATGGCCATGCGAACGGGCATGCCTATGGTCACTTGAGCGAGCATTTGAACGGTCGTGCGAATGGGCATCAGAACGGGCATCAGAAGGTGTGAGGCACATTAGTGACCCCCACCACACTGCCGTCTGAAGCAACAGCAATGGTGGAATCACAGTTGGCATACGTTCCGTTCCATGTGGCAGGAGCAGCTCTTGGCACGAGACTAGACCATCGCAAGCAACAGGAGGTGATATGGTGCTCCATCATCAGCTGGAAAAATAGCAGTACACTACCACCAGTGGCAGAAGAAGGGGCAGCAGCAGCAGCAGCCATGGTATGGCGACAGGTGTACATATGGAAGTCAAATGCAAAGCTTCTCCATTGACTGACCTATTGACTGACCTGGAGCCGAGACACACGCATCTATTTTCAGGGGATTTGCTTAGTAGCAATGGCTTCCACTTGTGTTATTTCGTTTACCCATCCTAGTATGAATGCCTCTGTACTGTAGTATGTAGGATTAGCTGCTCATCTAGTGGAGTCTGTGGCACAAAACAATTGTCACAGGCTGTACCTGCTGTACCATGATTATGTGTGGACCAAGTGGAAAAGAAAGCTCAAATGAACACTGCATCAGCACTGTATTATACACCTTACCCCGCCCCACCTTACCCCGCCCCACGCCACCTCACCCCACTCCACCCCAGCCCACCCACCCCACCCTACCCTACCAGAATCTGTCAACGCAACCCTATCAACCCTCCCCCCTTTTCCTCACCCATAACCCGAGCCTCTGGTTCGGAGTTGCAATTCCAAATCCGAAATCCCCATATTCCACATTTTGTTCGTCAGCAAAGATCTTCCTCGTCCTTGCCGAATCCCTCCTTGCCACGTGACAATCTCCCTCGCTCTATGACAGGCTCCCCAGGCAGCACCCGGCACACCTCCTCCTCCCACTCCCTCTGCTTCTGCACGCGCCGCATCTCCTCCGGCAGATACGCCTCCCTGATCTTGTCCTCTTCCGGGGGAGGCGGCACCGGCGGCGCGCCGGCGCGACTCGCCTGCTGCAGCGACGGGCGCGCGAAGGACGCGTGGAAGCGCCGGTGCATGTAGACAGCGTGAATCACGGAGATGAGCAGCAGCGGGATGAGCGCGGGCGTCGCGGGGAACTGCTTCACTCCGAAGTAGCCAATCAGCGTGAGCTGCGACAGCACGAGCGCCGCCAGAACGCGCGCCAACGCGTGCGGAAAAATCCTTCCGCGGCTCTCGAACTCGTTAACGTATACCTGCACGAGCTGGTTCTTCATAACGAGCCACTGCGTGAGAAAATACGCGCCGGCGAACGGGAGAATCAGCGGCGAAATCACCGCGTAGCAGAGCGCGAGCGTCGCGACTAGGAGGTCTCCGGGGAGCAAGCTCTTGTAGTCCGGCTCGCCGGGCTTCCACGCGTCGCGCAGATCCGGCTGCGTGCGGCAGAGCAACCGGCGCCGCGCGTGGAAAAGCACGAGCGGGACGAGCCGCGTAAGCTCGAGCCCGGCTCCTACGAGAAACTTCAGGGAGATGTAGGAGATGAAAAACGTCGCGGCTTGCGGGAGGGAAGATCCGAGCAAGTCAACCACAGCCGTTGGATGATCCACGATCTGCTTGATCGCCTGGAAAACGCCAGATGTGAGAGTGGTTCCGATGAACACGTTTAGAACCGTGAAGTAGAAATATTTTCCCGAGGCTGCCCGGATGGCGTGGGAGCGCGAGGGCAGGCCTTCGAAGAGCGAGAGGCGGAGGAGGAGGTTTGGGAGCAGCGCGAGGAAGAGGATGAGCGCAAGTTGCGGAAGGAAGGCCTCTATGAACGTGCGCAGGACAGGCCTGAGGGGAGGAGAGAGGGGGGAGGGGTGGGGAAGGGGGGGTTGTGAGGGCTTGTGAGGCGCAGCAAATAGCGCAGGTTGAGGAGGAAGAGCCGCTTGGGGAGCAGTGCGAGGTAGAGGATCAGCGCGAGTTGCGGAAAGAAGGCCTCTTTGAACGTGCGCAGGACAGGCCTGGGGGGGAAGACGTCGGGGGAGGGGGAGATGGCGTCGGGGGAGGGGGGGAAGGCGTTGGGGAGCGGGAGAAAGGATTGGGAGAAAGGCCTCTGTGAACGTAGGCCTGGGGGGAAGAAATAGGATTGGGAGTGGGGGGAACGGGGGTACGGGGGAAGGAACAGGATTGGGAAGGGAAGTAAGGGAGGGAATGGTCTGTGAGAATGTGAGAGGTTAAAAAAGAAGTGTGGGGATGAGAGTGTGAGTGAGAGAGAGAGAATGTGAGTCTGGGCGTAGCGGCGTTAGCAGCAACACTCACTGTTCCACGATGGGCTTGAGGAACGGCAGTGACTTCTCCAGGTTCTGCAGGGTGGTGAGGCTGGATATGAAGCCGATGGGGATCTGCCACACGAGAATGGAAACAGATAACAGAGAGAAGTGAGGGTGGAAGTGGGAAGGGGGAAGTTAGGACGGGGAAAGGGTGACAGGTAGGTGAGATGAGACCTTGAGAGATGCAACGAAAATAAGGAGAGAGCGGTGTTGGTGGGAAGAAAGACGCACTGGTTACCATCTCTACCGAGCAAGCATGGGTGACATTGGTCGGTAGAGATGGTATAGAGTGATGGTGAGAGAGTGGAGTGGTGGGACCACATGTCAAGGATCGTGCAGAAGCACCAAAACGAGACAGTTTTTTAGGTTCTGAAAAAAAAATGTAAAATAAAGACAAAAGAGGACCATGTAGAAGCAGATGGTGAGGAAGACGAGGACGTAGACGGCAGCGGTCCTGATGGCGCACGACACTCGCGAGATGCTGATGCTGTCCCACAGCACGTCGTTGGGCTCCGGGGCCTGTGAGTGCATGGTGAGGGATGGGATGGGATGCGATGCGATGGGATGCCTATCACATCACGGCATTGTCCGCATGCTGTGTCTTTCAATCCGCACACTTTTTCTGAGGTGCCTCAACTCCCCACCCCCCCACTCCCCTCCCTCCCCGCCCCTTTTTTTCCCCTTCTGCGCGCACCAGCTCTGTCTGCCACGGCGTGGCACTGTCAGCATATGGTCTGCGCTTTTTGAGGCGTCTCAACAATCTCCCCCCACCCCTCCCCACTCTTCCCAACGCACCGGCTCTGTGTGCCACAGCATGGCGTTGTCAGCATGCAGAGTCTGCGCCGCCACTGCCGCCATCACACGATCCCCAAACACCACAACGCCCGCAGACGTCATCACCATCCTCTGCACTCCTCGCGCCACACCCCCCACCACCGGCTTCTCAGCTGCTGCTGACACTGCTCTTGCTGCTGGCCGCTTCGCCATCCGCCCCACACGCCCGGTTAGAGATCCCTTGCTGCGACCTTCGTTACCCTCTCCCTCCCCTTCCTCTTCTTCTTCCTCCCCTTTGCCCCCCTCCTCCCTCTCCTGCTCCTCACCCTCCTCCCCTTCCTCTTCCTGAATCCCTTCCAAGCCCCTTTTTCCACCCGTCCCTTCCATAATCCCTGGCCTTCCCGCAGTGTCAACCGTACCCCTTGCTGCATATCCAGTTCCTTCCCTTCCTCCTCCACCTCCTCCACCTCCTCCACCTCCCCCACCTCCCCCACATGCCCCCGGTGGTGATGCCTCCTCGCCTTCCAAAGCGCACACAAGCTGCTGCCTCTCCTGCCTCTCTTCCTCCTCGTCCTCCTCACTCCTCCTCCTCAGTCGCATCTGCCACATAGGCCCAGCCTTTCCACCAGCACCAGTAGCAGCAGCGGTAGCACCAGCAGCACCAGCACCACCACCAGCAGCAGCAGCACCAGCACCAGCAGCACCAGCACCAGCAGATATGCAGCGGCTAGTGCTCCCAGCCCACGCCTCTCTCTGTGCGTGCTTCAGCTCCCGCTCTTTGCACCGCACCACTTCCTCATAGAACCGGATCGAATCTACCTTCTTTCCCCACAGACCCATCCATCCCGTCCGATGCTGCGGCCTCTCCACCTCTCCCCTCCCCTTCCCTCGCCCCCACCAACCACCACCACCACCACCGCTACCACCAGCAGCAGCACCAGCAGCAGCACCACCACCACTACTCCCCATGCTTCCCCCTCTGCCCATCTCCGCATGCCCCTCCCCTTCCCCATCCCCATCCCCATCACCACCACTGCCTCTCCGCCGCACCCACCCCTTAGGCCACCACCCTAGCCGTTCCGCGCGTCCCACCACCCCCCTTGTCCCCACCAGGACCTCCGGCCCTGCGCCGCTCGACTCTCCTGCCTCCCACTCCTCCTCCGCGCCTCCTGCTGCTCCCCCCTTCAGCCCACCTGTTGTCTCTCGCCGTCTGTCTGCAATCCCCCCTCCATGGGTGATCATCACCCCCCCTGCAGCAGGTTCCTCTGCCCTGCCTGCGTCTCTCTGTGCTTGCACCCACGTGGCCTTGGCGCGCAGTAGCTGCCTGCGTGCTGCTGCCAGCTGCTGCAGAACCGTGCGCGGCTGATTGGAAGAGTGAGGGGAAAGGGGCGGTTGTGTGGGGAGGGAGTGGGGGGGTGTGAGTGGGTGTGGGTGGGAATAGAAGAGAAGGGAGAGAGCGAGGTGGTGGTAAGGGAGGCAGACAGACAGGTGGTGTTTGCTCCGATGCATTGTGATGTGGTGCTGCAGTACAGTGATCTCATGAGGATACAGGTGCTGCATGTTTCCCAAATGTTGGATAGAAATTCCGGGGATGGAAGGTAGGCAGGGGAGGCAGTGGGAGGCCTTCAATCAGCAGTGAAGAGAAATTCCTGCATCGTCTCAACTCTTTGAGGCATTGCAAATCAGACTTTGAGGAGGTACCAGTAACACTCTGGGAAACTCCCACGTCGATGCCTTGCCTATCGTAACAAAACAACAGACGTGTTTACAAAAACCAGGGAAAGAGGAAAGGAGGCAGAGAGAGGCATAATGACTAATCCACCAACAGTTGGTGGCACCGAGGGTTGGTATCTTGGTACCGGTCCAGTACCGTACCTTATCCAGCGATCTCAGAATGTTGACACCACAGTAGGCTTCCCCATACAGCCACCCGAACAATGTATCCACAGCATCTGCTGCTTCCCTCCGCCTGGACCTCCCAACCTTCTCACCACCATCACCCCCACCTCCTCTTCCCCCTCCTTTTCCACCTGTCCCGCTTCCCCCTCCAGTTTCCTCCCCCAGTCCCAGCTCTTCATCTCGCCCATGTTTCTCTGCTTGGACTGACTTCTGCTGCTGTCCCCTATCCCCATCCTCCTCCTCTTGATTCCTCCACACATCACCATCACCGTCACCATCCTCCTCGTCGTCACTGTCAACGCCGCTACCAGCTGGGGCCCCGACCCCTCTCGCTCCTGGCTCAGCCCCTCCCTGCGCAGACAGCAGTGGTGCAGACACAGCAGGCCTGCTGCTGCTGCTGCTGCCGCCGCTACTATTGCTGCTACTAGCTGCAACAACACCAGCACCAGCACCTGCACCACCAGCACTACTAGCATTACCAGGCACAGGAGCGATAGAAACGGTGTTCTTGGGTGCACAGCGGTGCGGGGGGATGTTGCGCAGCAGCACTGCAAACTCCTCCACCTGGACCTCGGGGTCCTCCTCCCTCTGCTTGGCGCGCAGGCTGCTGACGTGGCGGTACGTGCGGTGCAGAATGAGCAGCGTGCCCAGCGCGGACCAGTACGCGCCCACAAAGAAGGCCCACAGGCGAGAGTCGTTGGGCTGGGGGGGGGGGGAAGATAGAGCGAGGGAGGGGGGGGGACAGAAGTAGTGGGATAGGAGGGTGAATAAGAGCTGAAGATCAGGCTTTGGATGTTCCTGACTGGTATGACCGTGCTTGTCTAAAGTAGGGTCCCCTGATGCTCGGTTATGAGTTTTGCGAAGGGCGGACGGTGTGTGTGTGCTTCCCAAAAGCAGGTACTGGTATCCTGCCCGAGCTGCGTGCACATCCCCTCATGAACCTATCATTAAGTTCGTTCTACATTCAGATGCCCCAAACACACAACTGACCCGGGAAGGGCTGCTCTAGCATGTGGCAGCACTCACAGCTGCACTACCCATGGCAATCACAGTTGCATCCAGCCGTAGAGAACTGGCGATGGGAAGCTGGGTATGTTTTGAGATGGCTAACAGATTCGCCTAAGCACATCCTCGTTGACCAAAAAGTCAACAGAAATACGGCAACCCCGAGTCAACTCGAAATTCGCCACACATTTTTCATGAGTTTACTCGAGAAGCACTCATGGGCACATTCCCTACTAAGATCGCGCATCCAACGTAGAGAGAACTGCAGACGAGGATCCGAGCGTACTTTTGAGTCGACTCAAGAGACACCAAACAAGTCGATTCAAGCAAGCAGCACTTACGGGCACATTCTCCATGGCAATGGCTTCCAGCGCGGAGAACTGCAGATGAGGATCTGAGTCTGAGTGTACCTTAGCGTCCGACTCAAAAGACACCACAGAAAGTAGATTCAAGCGGCAGGCAGCACTCACGGGCACGTTCCCCATGGCAATGGCATCCAGCGCGGAGAATTTGATTTGCTCCGCAGGAGGCCGCCCCGCGTTGAACGAATCGTAAAACCCGCCGGTGGCGCAGAGCGGAATGAGCACGGGGAGGCAGTACGCGGCGTGCCATAGCACGATCATCAGACACATGCGCTGTATACGCAGATACACCGCGGCATCCAGCCCCGCGGAGTGAACCACGTCCTGCTCCGTGCAGCGCAGCACGCGCTGGAGCCACTCCAGCGCGCTGATCTCCGCGAGCGGCGGAGGGCCGTGCCCGCGGAGGATGCGCTTGGGGAAGTAGATGGGGAAGTTGGCGGGGCGGCGGATGAGGATGGAGAAGAGGGTGAGGAGCAGGAGGAAGATGATCGCGGACGTCACGAGCGACGTGACGAACGACGCGACTGTCAGCATGATGAAGAGAGAGAATTAGCGGATAGATTGGTAGTGGTAGTGGTTGCTACCGAAGTGAGAGTACTACAGACATAAGCGCGGTTGTCTCTCGACGAACGACGCGGATTTCGGGCTCAAAACGCGTGCGGGTCTAGGCTGTTGGACATTGAAACCTCTGGTCCTCGATTTCCCCAAACAGGAATTAAATCAGCAGTGCCTGTGAGATCTGGTGAGCCATTGACAAGGGAAAGTTAATATGGTGAGGGGGTGGCAAGGGAACTTGGCTGGAGGCGCAAATATGAAGGTTTGCGAGCTCGATTGCTTGGCGGCTGCAGCCGAAGGCCGTGAAATGTAATCTCTCATGTGAGCAGGGACACTGAGAATTTGAGAAATTGCCGAGGCGCGTGATGACGTGCCTCGGAGAGTTGCATGCGGCTCCACGAGAAGTTCCGGGACGACGTGACTCGGCACGGCCCAAGGTCCACGCCAGACAAGCTGTCAGGTACACTACGGCGTGAGAAATGTGGTATTATTTCTCAGTAAAATAATGTTGTGAATAGGAATGACTCAACCTACAGGGTCCCAAGGGTCCACAAAGGAATCTCAACTTAATGAGACATTCAAGAAACTTCTTTCCTTTAATGGGTCATCCATATCATCTCATCGCAATATGGGACAGGCAACCTAGTAGCTAACAGCTGCCAACGTGGCACTAAGGTCAGCATCAGCCGCCAACACACCCTTAACAGCATCTGCGCGCGCCTTGATAGTCGCCTTCTTCTCCTTGTAGTATTCCACAGCATCAGCCTTACGATTGGCCTCCAGCTCCTGAACATTACAAAAAAAAAAAAACAAATTCCCAAAACAAGGCAGAATGGGTTTCTAGTACCGCATCCAATACACCCAATGCAAAACCAGAAACTTGGGGCGATAAGCGCGCAAACGACCAGGGAAAAAAGGCAAGCTTCAAGGTCAAAAGGTGCTGAGTACTCAGACCGTTAATGTATTGCTTGAAATCCGTGGCTCACCTTGACAACATCCCAGTAGTGCCAGCCAACCTCATGGGCAAGGTGACCCAACAGACAGAACTTGTGCCCAGGCTTCAACCGCAGCACCCTGTGTGGTTAGTGCGTGGGTGGTGTGTGTGTTGCGTTTAGAAGAGAAAAGAGGAGGCGGAGGAGGAGGAGGAGGAGGAGGAGGAGGAGGAGGAGGAGGAGGAGGAGGAGGAGGAGGAGGAGGAGGAGGAGGAGGAGGAGGAGGAGGAGGAGGAGGAGGAGGAGGGGGAGGAGGAGGAGGGGGAGGAGGAGGAGGAGGAGGAGGAGGAGGAGGAGGAGGAGGAGGAGGAGGAGGAGGAGGAGGAGGAGGAGGAGGAGGAGGAGGAGGAGGAGGAGGAGGAGGAGGAGGGGAGGAAAGGGAGGGAGGTGAGCGAAAGAGCAAATGAGGAAGGGAGGAGGAAAGGGTTGAGAGAGCGGGGGAGGGGAACTAAAACAAAGAGCACGGCTAGTGGCTAACGCAAGCAAAAGGTAGACTCGACGGCTGCAAGTCGTGGATTAAAAGATACAACCACACCAACTAAAACCGCATTCCACTCGGCTCATCAAGCAGTCAGCTTGATCCGTAGAGAACGCGCCACAGTCTAGCACAATATAGAACAGCAGCGCGGCGCGGCTTACTTAAGCGCGTCGGGGATGACGACTCGCTTCATCTTGTCGTAGGGCGCGGGGATGCCCTCGAACGCCTTCAGGCGGTCCAAAGCAGCGGCGCCGCGGGGAATCTTGTGGGGGATCATTCTGCCAGGGGGGCGGGGAGGCGGAAAAGCGAGAGAGAGCGCGGGAGGGGTGGCAGGTGAAACGAGTGCAGGGAACGTAATGCGGAAAAAGATTCGCGTAAAAAAAAGCGTGCGTGAAACGAGATCGCAGCAGCTTTCCAAGACAAAAGCTGTCAAGCATTGTACGACGGCGCAGTGCCCACTTGAGACCATTAAGAAAGGAACGAGGGGAGAGGAGGGGGCCGGCGGGGGCGGGGGAAGAGGTAACGAAGGGGAGGGGGAAAGGGAAGGGAGCATAGTACCCGCGGAGAGTGCGCCAGAAGATCTTGGAGGGCGCGCGGAAGTGGAAGGGGCCCTTGGAGGGCTTGGTGTTCATGCGCTTGCGCAGGAAGCGGAGGTACTTCATCTTCTGGCGCACCAGCCCGCCCGACAGGCAGATGTCCTCGCACCGCACCACGACCTGCGCGGATCGGGGGGGACAGGGGTAATGTGCCACGGGTTTGGTCAACGAGGCGAACAGGTTCAGGGATGTGATGTGTAGGCTAGGAATTTAGGCTGACCGTTAACTGATGCACTGCAACGCGGTTCACGGAACAAACGCGTGTGACGGAAAAAAAGCTTTACGATAAATGTTCGTGGTGACGGTTCCGCGACACATCATCCAATGCGTGCGGAAGGTTAACGAGGCGCCTAAAGCTACGGGGATAATAATGGGAAAGGGAAAGGTGCACGTGTGAAACCCGCAGCGTCAGCGCAATTTAAGCCGAAGCAGCCTGATTTCCGAAAGAGGTATCCCAAATCCCGGTGTTGGATCCGCGACGCTACTGCGCAAACCCCACTCCTGGCGCCTAACCATAATCGCTATCTACAAATACAAAAAGTGTCTATAACAATAAAAGTCCTATCGTCTTTACCACATGCTGGCCGTTAAGGAGCTCCTTAGCGACGATCGACGCGAGGCGCCCCAGCATGTGGTGACGCGCGTCGACCACAATGGTCTGCTTCACCACTCCGCTGCCCGACACCATGATGCCTCTATAAACACGGAGCCTACTGCACAACTGGGAGGAAGGAGAGAAACCCTAAAGTTGCCGCTGGTTCAAGAAGTAATTGCGGTCCACGCGAATAGCGTGAGAAACGGCGGGTGGAGGGGACGAGAGGGGAAAAGAGAGAGATGGTGAGCTGGGCTAGGAAGAAGAACAGCAAGGAGGAGAGGTTGGGGGAGGCGTGGAGGAATGCGGAGAGGGGAGAAATGACGCGCGCATACGGGGATGTGCAGGACGGCTTTGCGCGCATGGTCGGCTTGGGGAGGAAGATGAGCGGCGGAGAAAGTTGAAGTCACGCGCGGTAAACCTGATTGATGGCGTTGCGCCAGCGCTTACCAGCATTGCGCACAAAGAAACCCTTGCAAAACCCCTTTCGAAATTTCAGCTCACCCTAGTGAGGTGATTTCCCGAACCACATGTTACCAGCTAGTTCCGCCTCTCGTGGTTGGCTACCCAGCACCGAGGAACAATGAGCATGCACGTGCGAAACTCGAACACGATTGCAATGAAATTGCGACGGACAATGTACGAATTGTGATTTCGCTCAAGCGAAGTTGTCTCGCAGGCATCACAGGTGTAACTCATACTCGTTTAACACTACCCTGGCATAAGACTGTACTTCTATTCAACATGCATGACTTCATTCTGTCATGCAGGGAACGCACCTGTCATGCCCCTTTCTCATGCGTCACAGCACCAATAAAATAGGTTTTCTCCCACGCGTCAACCTGTGGAAGGATTGATGCAGATTCCTCTCAGCCAGGGCTGACGACTATTAAAACCGGAGGGTCAAGAAGCACGAAACTGGTTCAAGCTTCCTAAGGTTGGTTGGGTGTTACCCGGTTTCCAGCGGAGGCAAGCTTTTGAAACACAAACCTGGTCCAGAACATTCGCCAAACTAGAACACTGTAGCAGCGACAAATGCCCAGTTGGGTTTCATCGCACGGCACATCGCCCAACACCAACCTGCGTAAACATGAGGCACACAGGCAAGAGAAACTTGTCCCAAAAACGCTACTGATTATTCGCGAGTTCTAGGACCCACTATTAGACCCGCGTAGCCCGCTAACTAGCCAACATACCGACAAGCGGGCGCGCGCTAATCACGAATTACAAAAGGTATGGGAGAGCTAAAGTCGCGGAAACCGACATTACCGGAAATGTAGTTGTGCGGCGTGACGTTAGCAGACCGATGGCCACGATTCGACCTGCAGAGCTATGCGACGTCGCATTTAGGTCACGATTTGCATTGCAGGGCAACGCGACGGCGACATTAGGTCACGACTTGCCCTGCAGGGCAACGCGACGGCGACATTAGGTCACGTTTTGGCCGGCAGGGCAACGCGACGGCGACATTAGGTCACGATTTGCCCTGCAAAGGCAATGCGACCTACAAACAGGCGGAGGTGCATGGGCAGGGGGGATCGCGTGGGCAGAGGGGATCGCGTGGGCAGGCGAAAGCACCTGGCTCACCTCCGCCTCGCTCACCTCCGCCTCTCTTATCCTCCGCCTCTCTCACCCTCCGCCTCTCTCACCCTCCGCCTCTCTCACCCTCCGCCTCTCTCACCCTCCGCCTCTCTCACCCTCCGCCTCTCTCACCCTCCGCCTCTCTCACCCTCCGCCTCTCTCATCCTCCGCCTCGCTCACCTCCGCCTCTCTCATCCTCCGCCTCTCTCACCCTCCGCCTCTCTCACCCTCCGCCTCTCTCACCCTCCGCCTCTCTCACCCTCCGCCACTTCTCTGGCTCAGTGCCTTTCCCTGCTCTCTCCCCCCTTACAACCACTCTTCATCTTCCCCCCCCTTCCGCCCTTCCGCTGTGTCCCCCTTGCTCATTCTCTCCTTCCGTGCATTCCTTGTTCCCTACCGCCGTTGCCCTTCCATTGTCATTGTTTTGTATCCTTCCCCGCCGCTTCAACTTTGACACATCCGAGTTGTGGTTCGTGTGTGTGCAGGTCTGCCATGCATCCAGTTGTGATGTGTTTGTTGTTTGATGATAGTGGTACCGTATCACAAATAGCTGTCATATATTGATGTTGGATGCTTCTCATAATGCACAACTTAGTGTTTTGGAGCAGAAATGTGTTGGGAACAAACAATCTTAAGCGCCTCTGCCGTGTCGAAACACCAAGACACAAGCGAAGCAGCGCATATCGAGGCACCAGCGAGTCAACCTTCGGAGGTTGATGTAACCGCTGGAGGTTACGCGAAAGTCAAAAGTCAGCGACCTTTGACCTGACAAATGCAGCGCGACAGCAAGGACACACAACTGACTCGACATTGAGCAGTTGCCCGAGTCGCACTGTATCGAACCGCAACAGTAAAGTAGTTATAATGTCTCTTCATATTCTTTGTATTCATATATATATATATATTCTTGTATCTCTTTGCTTTAATTAACTTACTTTGCCCTCACATACTAGTGCAAGGTGGTTCAAGTACCTTACTTGGACTTTAACTCTACCAAAGATCCTAAAGGGCACTCAGCCCAACAAAATGCACATGACCATTACAAGGAAGTGCAACAAAGCAAGCTATAGGTTTCCAAGAGTGGACTATAGGCACATGCACAAAGCTAGGAGGTGGAACATTTCAATCCACTCCTGTCATGCCACGACCCATGGTGCTGGGCACCTGTACAAGCATGGTTCTGTGATGGAACAGGGAGCGAAGAGGGGATATGGCAGAATAAGCGAGGGGTGGAGGTGGAGGTACAGAAGGGCATGTATGGGAGGAGTGGACAAGGCAGAGGGGTGAGCAAAGGGGGAAAGGGAGTGAGCAGGGTGGAGAAGGGGGTGAGCAAAAGGGGAAAGAGAGTGAGCAGGGTGGAGAAGGGGGTGAGCAAAGGAGGAAGCAAGTAAGCAAGGGCTAAGGAGGGGTGCGAACAGGGGAAATGAGAGGACTTGGGGGTGGAAAAGGGTTGAACGAAGGGGAATAGAGAGTAAACAGGGGGAGAGATGGGAGAGTACAGGGGGAAAGGGAGGGTTGGCATGGGGGAAAGGGAGGATTATTGCAAGGAAAAGGGCGAGGGAGAGTGGGGGAAAGAGAGGGTAGGAGGGGGGGAAAGGGGGGGTAGGATTGGGGGAAAGGGGGGGTGTTAGTTGGGGAAAGACAGGGCAGTAGTGCGGGAAAGGGAGGTGCGTGGGGGAAGCGGAGGGTTGGCGTTGGTGAAAGGGAGGATTACTGTGTGGGAAAAGGGCGAGGGAGAGTGGGGTATTGTACGGGGAGGAGTGGGGGAATGGACGGGTGGGATTGGGGGACGGGTGGAACATTTCAACCCCTCACGGGTGGGTGTCGGGGAAGGAATTGGGAGCGGGAGAGAGGGTAATGGCAGGGTTGACGGGAAGGGGTTGGAAGAGTGTGGGGAAACAAAGTGAGCCGGCGGGATGAGAATGAGCAGGGGAGACAGAGTGAGCCGGAGAGATCAAGGTGTGTGAGGGTGATACTGCTGCTTGTAACCACTTCAGCTCGCAGGGCGGGTTGTGTGTGCGTGGAGGGGGAGTAGAGTGCGGTGGAGAGTGGTGAGGAGCTGGCATACCGTGTGGGGACGGGGGTGGGCGAGGTGTAACACAAGGGCGTCAGAGACAGCAGCAGAGGAGAGGTGGAGGTGTGTGAGGGATACTGCTGCTTGTAACCACAGCTAGCCGCAGGGCGGGGTGTGAGGGCGTGGAGGAGGAGTGGAGTGCGGTGGAGGCTGGTGCGGTGCGGAGGAGGAGGAAGCGTGGCGCCGCGCGAGTGGCAGAGGTCGTTGTGAGTGAGGACGCGAGGAGGTGAGGAGGGAAGAGGGAGGAGTGAGAAGAGGAGGAGATGAGGCAGAGGGAGAGGATGAGGAGGAGGGGAGAGGGAAGCCAATGGTAAGGAGGGGGCAGTGGGAGAGGTGCAGGGTGGTGAGGGAGGGGTGGACGGGTGGTGGGAGAGGGCAGTCCAGGAGAGGTTGGCGGAGAGCAGGCGGGGGAAGGCGAGGAGCAGCGCAGCAGAGGCGCCGGTGATGCTGCTGCCCCACACTCACCGATGGCGCGAGTGCACCAGCGACTGCAGGAGAAGGGGGGGAGGCGGGGGTGGAAAGGGGATGGTGGGAGTGGGAAAAAGGGGAGCATTGGCGCAGGATGCGTTAGCGCAAGTGAACCAACAACTTGAGGAAGAGTGGGTGGGGGATTGGGGGGGGGGAGGGGGAAGAGAATGAGCAGGGGAGACAGACAGAGGGGGACGGGAGAATGAGCAGGGCGATGGGAGGGGGGAGCGCGGGCGATGGGAGAGGGAAGTGCAGTCGACGGGCGGGGGATGTGTAGGCGACGGGAGGGGGAAGTGAGGAGCGACGGGAGGGGGAAGTGAGGAGCGACGGGAGGGGGAAGTGAGGAGCGACGGGAGGGGGAAGTGAGGAGCGACGGGAGGGGGAAGTGAGGAGCGACGGGAGGGGGAAGTGAGGAGCGACGGGAGGGAAAAGGGAAGAGCGGCAGGAGGGGATTAGTGAAGGCGTCGGGAGGGGGATGTGGAGGTGACGGGAGGGGGAAATGAAGGCGACGGGAGGGGGAAGTGAAGAGCAACGGGAGGGGGAAGTGAAGGGTGAGGCATCAGCGAAGTGTGACAGTTGACGCAAACCCTGGTGCAGGTTGCGGGGACGACGGGAGTCAGTGGGACGTTAGCGATGTCCGGAAAGTGAGGTGTGAGGGGATGGTGGTGCAGTGGCGTGAAGGATTTCCTATGCATCAGCGTGAGAGTAACAAAAATGCGGTCCGATCTTATTTTGAATCGCATGGACGCGAATGGGACGGGGCGTGCTCGACCGAGAGGAAGGGGGCATGGTGTGAGGACTACCGATTAGCGGCGTTTGGAGTTCCGAATCGTGGCGCCACCACCGCATTCAATCGTGGCGGAACTTGCTGGCGGCGTGAGCAACCGCAATGGCAAGGTGAGGGTAGGGAATGTAGGTGGTAAGCAGTTGGCGGCTTGAATGTGCCTGCTGTACTTGCAAGCGCGCTGCGTTATCCTAGGCATAAATGTCGCTGTTATCAAGGGAAAAGCTGGACGCTCCCTTTCTTCGCATGCACATTCGTATCTCGTGAAACAGGTGACAGTCAGGCAGAGGCCCTTGGACGGACTATGATGAATAGCTACTACTTCCGCTTACTTAGGTCATCGAAGTGGTGTGTTCTCGATGGACGAAATGTTGAGCTGGGGTGTGGTGACTGGTCGTATGGGGGTCTGGGTGATCGATTGTTGGGGGTGTGTCTGTCACACTAGACTTCGGGTAACTTGGGCGAAAATGATTTAGCACGCGAACTTCGTCCAACGTCTTCGACACTCCCAGACCTCGCTGGCCAATAGTATGTTCCTACCCAACCAACCTTCCTAAGCTTGAAAGTTGTGGCCTGCGGGTTTTAAATCACTTTTGCAGGCCAGCGTTCAAGTTTCGAGTTTGTTTTCCTTTCAACCGCTGTGATTCCGTCCACCGTTCGTCCCTGGCTTCATCAGCGGCAGCCATGGCGAAGCGTTTGCAGGGGAAGGTCGCCGTAGTGACAGCATCCACTGCGGGTATCGGCCTCGGAATAGTGGAACGGCTTGGCCAAGAAGGCGCATCAGTGGTCGTCTCATCGCGCAAGCAGGCGAACGTCGATACAGCCGTCGCACGGCTTCGCGAAAAGGGTATAGATGCGATGGGGATGGTCTGCCACGTGGGAAGCGCTGAGCACCGTCGGAAATTGGCCGAAGCCGTGGTTGCCAAATATGGTCGTGTGGATATTTTTGTGTCGAACGCAGCCGTTAATCCGACGTTAGGGCCAATCCTGGACATGGGGGAGCGTGAGCTAGATAAGTTGCTAGATACCAACATCAAGGCAGCAGTTCTGCTGGTTAAGGAGATGGCTCCGCACATTCCGCCAGGGGGGAATATCGTTTTTGTTGCGTCCATCGCCGGATTCAACCCGATTGCCATGCTTGGCATGTACTCCGTGACCAAGACTGCTCTATTGGGTCTCACCAAAGCTCTGGCTGTCGAGTTGGCTCCAGAAGTTCGTGTGAATTGTGTTGCTCCGGGGATTGTTCCGACTCAGTTTGCGAGTTACTTGGTGGAGAATGAGGGGATTAGGAAGGAGACAGAGGAACGCACGCTTTTGAAGAGGCTGGGCGCTCCGTCAGATATAGCTGGTGCTGTCGCCTACTTGGCGTCAGATGACGCGTCGTATGTCACTGGCGAGACCATTGTGGTGGCTGGCGGAATGCAGTCTCGCTTGTGAACCAGCCTGTGCATCTGAGATGAGAGGTTATCTGCATTGTGGGATGAGATTGTACTTGGACCCAAATGGATGAAGGTGTGTAGAAGACTAATCGCGATTGGCATTTTTGGTGTGGCACTTCAATCCTATCCTGTCCACCATTTTGTGATAGCATACAGTTTTTTATATGGAGCCACGTTATATTGAGGAAGTCGCAATGGTCGGATCAAGCTAGTCTTTACGCGCAAAACTTTGCACTGTAGTCGTAGAAGACCCACGTGCACTGTTCCCACGCTATGGATGACGTGGACGGTGGCATTTTTTGTGAACTCCGTTTCTTCGACGGATTCCGCTCCAGCCATTCTCTGTCGCAACGCAACGCAACCACTCCGCTCGTCGTCTCAAAGTCGTCGCCCGCAAGTAACAGGAGTTGGCTGACCTGGATGGATGCTTTTCATCGCAGGACAAGCTCTTGCTGCAAAATTGCTGTCCCTGACTACACTGTCGCCGCGAATCGGCTGGCAGCGTCGCCAGTTAGGCGTCTGTCGTCAACCTCTTACTGTCGTCGCACAGACGCCGTAAGGTCGCGCACCGCCAACTTGCCAACCCCAAGGTGGCCCTTGGAATTTTTCCAACAGTGTTTTCCATCAGTTCCCCAAAACCAAGGGTACTCCTTTATCCCTCTTGTAAGAACAATCCGAGCCGCAACACAACAATCTCTGCCTCCCTTGGTATTGGTTTACCTGTTCTCTAGGTTGAACCCTCTTCATCAAGCATCCAGTTTTCATGACTGAGCATCATTGTTGAGTGCTTATCCTGAGTGGGACCAGCAGTCATTCATAACAAGCCGACCTAGAACTTTTTGACTCATATGTACAGACGAATATGCGGAAGCGTTGTTGGATTCTCTGCTGGAACCTAGCGAACACCTTGTGTTCTGGCATTTTCAGTGTGAATGGAATACTCTTAATGGACAAGAAACGATGACCCTAACGTTGCTCTACGAGAGTCATAGAGCTGATTCATTGCGCTCAGATATTTCGTCGTTGGACCAGGCACCGTAGCCATGGCTCAGATTATTCGAAGGCTTTGGGCTCCAAAGCCCGTAAAGCATCATGCACCAAGAGGGCTCCTCGGCGTTAGCGAACGAGTGTACGGTGCGTGCTCGCCTCCTCGTTTCCTTTCAGGAAGTTATTATTTCTCGTCGTCAGTAGACTCCGTCCAGTGAGGAAAGTTCATCAAACCGTCGGATAATGCCACGGTTAGCATTAAGGTTATCAATTTCCTTGAGGTGATCAGTGTCGAACTCTAAGCTAGAACGGCGGTTGTTCGCCGAGTTTGACCATCGCTTGGTATCCCCATAAATCCTCCTCCTACACATCCTCATTTTGCAATCCGTGGATTTCAAGGTCAGCAGTAGTATGACCTATTCGTCCGTGTCGTCCGTGAAAAGTATCCAGCTTGTGTCGCCTTCCGTTATTCTCTCTCCTCCCTCCCCCCGGTGCAACGCCACGAACGCATATGACACCGACACCATCCGTCCCCATCTACACCAGATTGGAGCTTGCACGAAACATTCAAATCCTTTTCTCTTCTTTTCTCTTCTCCTCCATTCCCATCCCCTCCCCTCTCATCCCCTCCATCCCTTCCCTCCGCTCCCCGCTACCCGTCCCATCGTCGCGCCTGCCTGCCTGCAGTGTTCTCCTCGTGCAACTCCGCAGAGGCCCACGACAAGGAGACCTACCGCGCGTATCTACATCAGGTGGCGGCAGAGCTCAACGAAACGTATCCCGAGGGCTCCTTTCTCGTCTTCAACTTCCGCCAGGGCCACCCGTCCGCGTCGTCGTCCCGGCGGAGCCTCCTGGCGGAGGTTCTGGCGGAGTTCGAGATGACTGTGCTGGAGTATCCGCGGCACTATGAGGGGTGTCCCATTCTGCCGCTCGACATGGTGCAGCATTTTCTGCGGAGCAGCGACAGCTGGCTGAAGCATGCGGACGAGGTGGATGATTTTCACCACCAGAGCCCCACGGTTGCTACCGCTGATGCTGCTGCTGCTGCTGCTGCTGCTGCAGTTGCTTCCCGGATAGGAGCGGATGGAGGTACAGGGTGTGGGGAGGATGCGGAGTTGGATGAGCTTGGGAACGGGTGTGGGAATGGATGCGAGAGAGGAGGAAGGGATGGTGAGATGGAGGTGAGGAATGGCGAGACTGCGCAGGTACCTACAGCGTCACCTCCGCGTCGGACTCTTTTCCCACCTCCTTCTCCTTTCCCCCGGTCTCAGTCACACTCAACAAGCCATCATCACCACCATCACAACCATCACAACCATGCAGACCACCACCACCATCACCATCACCATCACCATCACCATCACGACCACCAGCATCACCAGCATCACCAGCACCCGCAGCACCAGCAGGAGCACAACCACGAGCAGAACGTGGTGCTGTTTCACTGCGAGCACGGCGGGTGGCCTGTGCTGTCGTTCATGATCTCGTGCTTCCTGGTATATCGCAAGCAGGGTGCCCTCACAGCCATGAGCGAGGAGGAAACGCTGCTGGCAGTGCAGAAGGGCGGAGGGTCGAGGGAGTTGCTCAAACTGCTGTACCCTGTTGACCCCACTGCGTCTCAGGTCAGTGCAGCTGAACTCGCCACCTTTTTCCTTTGCTCCCTTGCGTTAATTTTCTCAGCATCCTATACAAACTACTGTGCTCCATTAATGTTCTCTTCACCCCGTTTCCTTCCTTCTGCTCCTGGCTCCCATCTTCCTCACCCCCCCAGACCCCTGGTTCCTGCCTGTCTCATCTCCCCTTTCCGGCCCCACTTTCCTCCTGTCACCATCTCCCTCTTTGCAAACCAAACCCGCCCCCCCCGTCTCCCCCCACAATAGGTGCGGTACCTTGAGTACGTGAGTCGGCGAAGCAGCATGCCCACGTGGCCCCCAGAGGAGCGCGTGGTTCAACTCGACTGCATGATCCTTCGTACGGTTCCCAGATTCGATTCTGCGGGCGGCTGCCGCCCGGCAATCAAGATCTACGGGCGGGTCCCTGAGAGCACGCACAGGGAGACGACGCTGCTGTTCCACAGCCTGAAGCGGGCGCAGAGGGGATGGGGGACGCCGCCGGGGGGAGGATGGGGCGGTGGCACGCCAAGGGGAGGCTGGGGAACTCCTGGGGGAGGGTGGGGAACGCCAGGAACGCCTGGAGGAGGGGGGTGGGGGACGCCAAGAGGGGGGGGAGGGTGGGGGACGCCGATGGGGGGCGGAGGGTGGGGGACGCCGAGAGGGGGAGGAGGGTGGGGAACGCCGAGGGGTGGGGGATGGGGAACGTCTGGGGGAGGATGGGGGACGCCACAGGCAACTCCTAGAGGAGGAGGGAAGGGGGGATTCATTCCGCACTACAAGCAGGTAGGAGAGGAGGAAACTTTTGAGGCGCCTCAAAGGTGGGGGATGGGGAACGCCTGGGGGACGCCACAGGCAACTCCTAGAGCAGGGGGAAAGGGGGGTTTCATTCCGCACTACAAGCAGGTAGGAAGGAGGGATTTGAGAGTTGAAGGCTGATAGGAGGTCTGATGAGGAAAAGGAGGGTGAAATGAAGGGAAGGGGTGGTTGGGATAAGTTGGAAAGAGAAGGTGTGGAGCTGTGGAGCTGATTGCAGAGGCGACGTGGTGGTGTAGTGCCCCCTTTGAAAACTCCCCAATCCCCCCCCTCCCTTCCGCCCGTCCCCCCGTTCCTCCCCGCCCCCCCGCTTCTCAGGGCGACATGGAGGTGGTGAAGGTGAACGTGCAGGTGGCAGTGCAGGGAGACGTGGTGGTGGAGTGTATGCGTCCCGTTGAACTGCCTCGATACCTCTTTTTTTTTCCCCCCTGCTCCTCCACCCCAACATCCCCTCCCCAGGGAGACACAGAAGTGGTGAAGGTGAACGTGCAGGTGGCGGTGCAGGGGGACGTGGTGGTGGAGTGCGTGCATGTGGACGAGGAGGGCGAGGGCGAGGCGGTGATGTTCCAGGTGGTGTTCAACACGGCCTTTCTGCGCTCCAACATGCTGCTGCTCGACCGCCACCAGCTCGATATCCTCTGGGACGCCAGCGCCAGCTTCTCAGAGGATTTCCGGGTCGAGGTGAGAGAGAACGGGAGAAAGAGCCGCTGGTCGCAGGTCGTAGGTTGAAATCATGCAACAACGGTCGTTCATTCGGTCAAACCCACTGATGTTTTCTTTGTGGCCTTCCCCTCCTTCCCCGTCGTCTCCTGCTCTGCTGTCTGCTCACGATTGTGACCCCCAGCGTCACCCTCCTCTTCCCCCATTCCTTCCGCCCATCCCGCCCCCCTCCCCGCCACAGCTTCTATTCGCAGAGCCGGACCACGACATCCCACCCACGCCCTCGCCCAGGTTCTTCCACAGCGACTCCTCCCGGTTCTCACCACACCACTCCACCACCCCATCAGCGTCTTCCTCCCCTCTCCCCGACGAGGACTTTCAGACGCTCGCTGCTCTCTTCCAGTCATCCCACTGGTCTCCTGACGACAGCCGCAGGGCTCTGGATCACCTCCGCTTGCAGCTCCTGGGGGAAGCCTCAGGCGCAGGAGGAGGAGGAGCAGGTGTAGCAGGACCTCCTGGTTCCCCTGGGTTCTCGATTCCGCCTTCGCTTGCCGCGTCGCTTGGGTCGGGTTCGGTTCCAGGTTCGGTGCTAGGGTCGCTCGCTGGGTCGCTGTGTGGTTCGGCTGCCGCGTCTGCTGTATGCTCGCCAAGAGCTGCTGCTGCAGCAGCTGCTGGTGTTTTTCCTGGCAAGCTCACTCATCCCCAGGTGCAGCTGCTGCGGAGATCGGGTGCTGCTGGTGGTGGTGGTGGTTCGGGCGAATTCTCCGGCCCGCTCTCTCCTGCTTTGTTCACGTCCACGTCAGCGAATGAACGGCAGCACGAGGCACTGCCCAAGTGGTCCATTCATGACGTGGAGGAGGATGAGGAGGCTGATTTCTCCAAGCTCGTGGATGAGCCTGGTGATGAGTCATCATCTCGTGACACGTCACCGACTCTCTCCAGTGACGTGATTGGCTCGCGGGGATCCACCAGAGAGTCCAGCTCATCACCTCCCGCGAACCACAAGCTTTTCTCCTCTCCTCGCAGTTCTTCTGCTTCTGCTGGTGGTGGTGGTGGTGGTGGTAGGAGCGGTAGCAGTGGTGCTGGTGTAACTAGAGCAAGGCAGAGAGCAGGTAGAAAAGCAGCACAAACAGGCAGACTAGGGAAGGTGGATGTGAGTGCGTTGAGCGTGGGAGTGCTGTTCGGGGGGTCTGTGGAGGAGGATGATGAGGAGGAGGAGGACGAGGAGGAGGAAGGGCTGGGGGAGGAAGGCTCTCGAGAGAAGCAGATGAGGATGCTGCGGGTCTTAGGCAGGTTTGGTGCACCTGATGCTGGTGGTGGCGGCGGCGCAGGTGGTGGTGGTGGTGGTGGAAGAAGTGTTGGGTCTGGCTCAGGACTTAGAAGCAGTCTGGATGGAGGGATTGCAGGAGGTGGAAGGGGACGGGGAGGAGTGGGAGGAGTGGAAAGCGGTACTGGGAATCATCACTCTGGTAAAGTGGGATTTGCAACGTCAACCGTGGGTGAGCATGGGGATCTGGCCAGTGCAAGAGGAACAGCTGGGCTAGTTTTAGGGTTTGGTCGGAGGTCAGTAGAGGGTGAATCAGGGCCGGGAACAGGGAGAAGAAAAGCAGCAGCAGGAGCAGGAGCAGGAGTAACAGCTGGGGGGGTTGACAGTGACAAACACGCTGGGGTGGGGCGTGCAAGGGAAGGGTTGCAGGGGCTGCGAGGGAAAGAGCTGCTGGAGATTCCCCGGCATAAGCTGAAGCAGGCGCGCACCCACAAGCACGCGCATGAGCTCGCTCTCTTGCCTCTTGATCTGGCTGGTGGTGGCCCGTCGCTGTTTCGCTTTGAGCATGACCTTCCTCTGCCTGCTGTGCTGGCAGGGAAGGGTGATGTAGGGTTAAGAATGAATGATTTGAGAAGGGAGGAGGGTAGCAGAGGGAAGGAGACGCTTGGTGGAGGAGCAGAGACGAGGTGGAAGGGAAAGGAAGGTGGAATGTCGAGTGGTGTGAGTGTGGAAGCAGCAGGAGGCAGGGGAGGGGACGGGCAAGCCTCGGAGGGGTTGACAGACGGGGGTAAGGTGGGAGGGGCGGAAGGAGGAGGGCATGAGACGCAGGAGAAGGGTGGAGCAGAGAGCACGGAAGGATCACCTTCGGACTGGAACGAATCCCGCAGGAAGTCTCGGAGGGAGTTTGTCAAGGGCCTGTCTCTCAAGATCCCTGACAGCGCAGCAGGTGACAACGACGGAGGGAGCAGTGACGGCGGGGGGAAGGAGAACGACGTAGACGACCGCAATGGTATCATCCGCAGCAGTAGCAGCAGAAGAAGCGGCGGGTTGGAGGATGGGGCTCCTTTGTCTGTTCGGGAGCGGTGCGCGTCCCTAGGCAGCAGAGGAGGGAGCTTCAAGGGGGGGAAAGGGTCCATGGATAGTCCTTCTGCGCCCAAACTGGGCTCTGACTTGGCGTCTCTAGGGAGCAGATCAGGCAGGGTAGCGCAGCTGAGATTGAGCCTATTACAAGAGCTGGAGAAGGAGAAGGAGAAGGATGGAGTGGCAGGGGCAGGAGCAGGGGCGGGGGCAGGAGTGGTGGCACATAGTTCGCCTAGGCCAGTCGTGGATGAGTGCTTGTCTGCTAGGCATAAGCTGCATGTGGTGTGGCCCCCTCCTGGGCATATGCTTGCTGGAGGGGATGGTGGAGGAGGGGGCGGTGATGCTGGTGGTAGGGGTGGTGGGAGAGGGAGCGGGAAGCGGCATTCCACAGGGGGGATTGGGATGGAGGGAGCGGAGGAGAGGAAGGGGTCTGGGCTGGTGAGGAGTTTCAGCCGGCGGTTCAGTGGTGGTGATGTGGGGTTGAAGCTGAATAAGGTGCAGACACCAAACGCTGCTGCGGCTGCTGCTGCGGCTGTGATTCTCAGCTCGCCCGTTCCATCCATTGCTGCTGATTCTGCTGCTTCTCCTGCTGCTGGTGCTGCTGCTGCAGCTGGTGCTGGTGCTGGTGCTGGTGCTGGTGCAAGTGGCATTGATGGAGTGCGCACTGCAGCAAGGGGGGATGCAGCTGAGAATCCAGATGCTGCTGCTGCTCCCTCGAACACTGCCTCTTCCTGCTCTCCCCCTCGTTCCTCTGCTCGCAGCATGGCAGTTCCTCTCAGTTCCTCCCCTGCAGCGCCTTCAACAGGAGCACACCAAGCACCTCCTACCGCTTCCCCTCCACCACCACCCCCACCTCCTCCCCCTGCTCCACCTCCACCTCCTCACCCGTCTGGAAGTGCGGTGCCAACCCCCCCTCCTCCTCCACCCACACCCCCCCCACCTCCTCCCGGATCAGCCCCCCCTCCACCCCCCCCTCCTCCCCCTCCCCCACCCGCCCGCCCACCCGGGGTGCCTCCTCCTCCCCCGCCTCCTCCTGGCGCTCCTCCCCCTCCCCCACCCCCACCCGCCCCCCCTGCCCCTCCAGGCAGAGGCCCACCTCCCCCTCCTCCCCCTCCCCCTGGGAAGGGTGCACATCCCCCTCCCCCACCTCCTCCTGGCAGGGGCGCACCTCCCCCACCCCCACCCCCGCCTGGAGCCCGCGGTCCCCCTGGTCCCCCACCCCCCCCGCCTCCCCCTGGTGCACCACGAGGCCCCCCAGGCGGCCCTCCCCCTCCCCCTCCCCCCCCTGGCGCACCAAGAGGTCCCCCAGGCGCCCCTCCCCCTCCCCCTGGACCCAAAGGTCCTCCGCCCCCTCCCCCTCCGGGGGGGAAGCTTCCGCCACCTCCCCCCCCTGGGGGGAAGCTGGCGCCCCCTCCTCCACCAGGGGCAGGGAGAGGGGCGGGAGTGGGGGCCCACCAGCAGCACTACCATCAGCAATCAGGGGCAGCTGGGGCTGCTGGCGCGGGTGTGAGGAGAACGCCTCTCAAGTCATTTTACTGGGGGAAGGTGGTGCGGCCAGTGGAGGATAGCCTGTGGGCGGTGTCTCAGAGTGACCCAGACAGCAGAGTGTACGTGCTGATGATGCTGCTGCTAATGCTGCTGCTAATGCTGCTGCTAATGTTGCTGCTAATGTTGCTGCTAATGCTGCTGCTAATGCTGCTGCTAATGCTGCTGCTAATGCTGCTGCTAATGCTGCTGCTAATGCTGCTGCTAATGCTGCTGCTAATGCTGCTGCTAATGCTGCTGCTAATGCTGCTGCTAATGCTGCTGCTAATGCTGCTGCTAATGCTGCTGCTAATGCTGCTGCTAATGCTGCTGCTAATGCTGCTGCTAATGCTGCTGCTACCTCCCCTCGCCCTCCTCCCCGTGCCCTCCTTGCCTGCAGCAACCTGGAGCTGAATCTGGAGGAGCTAGAGGATCTCTTCTCAGCAGCACCGCCACCCAAGGCAGTCAAGCCAAAGCAGCAAGAGACAGCCAAAGTGGAGAAAGTTACCCTGGTGGGTTGGGTTTAAGCTCCTTTCTTTCTTTCTTTCTTTCTTTCTTTCTTTCTTTCTTTTATTCTCCCCCCTTTCCTCCCTCCTCCCTCCCCACCCCCCTCCCTCCCTTGCCTCGCACACTCACATATGCTACTCCCTCCCTCCTTCACCTTGCTTTTGCCCCTCGCTTCTTGCTTCCTTGTCCCTCACTCCCCATCCCACCACCCCTCTCCTCCACCCACCGTCCCCCACCCCTACCCCCCCTCCTCTGTCTCTTACAAGTTACACCCACCTTTTTTTTCCCCGTTTCTCTCCTCCTCCCTACCTCTTGCATCGACCTAAGCTGACCCGTCCTGCCACTCTATGCCCTGTGCGTTCTGTCATGTTTCATCTCGTTTTGGCTTCTTAGCTCCGCTCCGCCCTTTCTGATTCCGATTCATCCTTGGGCTGGGCTTTTGAGGCGCCTCAAAAGTATGCCCTGTGCGTTCTGTCATGTTTCATCTCGTTTTGGCTTCTTAGCTCCGCCCTTTCTGATTCCGATTCATCCTTGGGCTGGGCTGGGCTGGGCTGGGCTGGGCTGGGCTGGGCTGGGCTGGGTGGGGCGGGGCTTGGCTTGGCTGGGCTGTGTGCAGATTGACATGAAGCGCTCCAACAACTGTCTCATCATGCTCTCTAATTTCAAGAAGTACACCTACGCGCAGCTTGTGGTGAGTCGTACATACCAATCCAACCCGCAGCTCAGGGTGAGTCGTCCCACCCAGCAGCATCTGGTGATTCGCTGCTGTGTGCTGCTAACACTGCTGCTCGCGTGACACGGGCATGCAGCTTCCTTCCTTCACTCATCCCCACTTTCTTTCTCGCCCTTTTGCCTCTGCCTCTCTCGAACGGTCCTCATCTACTCCACACCTTCATGCCCGTCTGCTCCAATCAGCCTGCAGTGCAGGCTGCACACACGCCCCCCCCACACACAGAATGTGCGCTCTGGTCATAGCAGAGATGAACGGAGCTGGCGCTGGACATGCACTGAACTCGGCAATTTGAAACAAGGAGGAAGCATGCGTGCCGCGCCGCGCACGCCTCAAACCTCTCCTCACTCACTCTTCCAGTCTCCTCCCTGCCTCCCCTTTTTTCCCTTACCCGTCCCCTTCCTTTGTCCTGATTGTACTGTTCCCCTGTGCTGCTCTAACCACAGGACTCGGAGCTGGATCTAGGTGTATAAAGAAGATTTTTGAGACGTCTAAAAAATCTTCTTTATACACTCGGAGCTGGATCTAGGTGTATAAAGAAGATCTTTGAGACGTCTCAAAAATCTTCTTTATGGACTCGGAGCTGGATCTAGGTGTCTCAAAAATCTTCTTTATGGACTCGGAGCTGGATCTAGGTGTATAAAGAAGATTTTTTAGACGTCTCAAAAATCTTCTTTATGGACTCGGAGCTGGATCTAGGTGTATAAAGAAGATTTTTGAGACGTCTCAAAAATCTTCTTTATGGACTCGGAGCTGGATCTAGGTGTATAAAGAAGGTTTTTGAGACGTCTCAAAATTCTTCTTTATGGACTCGGGAGCTGGATCTAGGTGTATAAAGAAGATTTTTGAGACGTCTCAAAAATCTTCTTTATGGACTCGGAGCTGGATCTAGACCCGACAGTGCTGAACGAGGAGGGCGTGGTCCGTGGAGGCTCTGCACACAGAAGGACATTCAAACATGACTCCCCTTCACTTCTTCTCCGCTCCTGAGGTGACTTTTGAGTCGACTCAAAAGGCTCTGCACACAGAAGGACATTCAAACATGACTCCCCTTCACTTCTTCTCCGCTCCTGTTCTCCCATTGTTATGCTCTGCTACCACTGCGCAGGATGCAGTGCTGGCGCTGGACACAACAGTGCTGAACGAGGAGGGCGTGGAGGCCCTGCACAAGTTCAGCCCCACCAAGGAAGAAATAGAGCTGCTCAAGGTGTGCTCTAGTCTCTCGTCTCGTGAGCCGTGTGGGCCTCGGGAGGGAGGTGGCACGGCTTGGCACGATGTTTCGTTTCACCCACTTGAGCTGGCTGGCAGGAAACTGGATGCAATGCTTCCCAGCGTAGATGCTGCTGTGTTTTGCTGTTTTCTTGTGCTTCCTTTCCGGATCTTGCTCCTGGTGTTAATATTGCTCATCGTCTGTGTGTTCGTGCCATGTGTGTCTTGCATGTGGGTGTGCATGTTCCTCTACATGTGCATGGATGGGCATATGATGTGGATGTGCATGTTGTACCTGCTGCAGTCTTTCCCGGGGCCAAAGGAATCGCTGGGACTATGCGAGCAGGTAAGGAAGCAAGCAAGCAAGCACGAGTGACCGACCTTCATGCTTTCCCCCTTCGCTAGCGCACGCGCGCACTCTTCTTGACCTGAACCACCCAATCCCCGTTCACTAATCGACCGCAACGCAAGCCATCACTTCAACCACCATCACTTCAATTCAACCACCACGGCTCCCCTCTCCACCCATACATCACACTCGTCCATTCATTTGTCCTTTCCCTTGAGGTGACTTTTGAGTCGACTCAAAAAACAACCACCATGGCTCCCCTCTCCACCCATACATCACACTCGTCCATTCATTTGTCCTTTCCCTTCCCTCCCTCCCGTGCTCCGCCTTCCAGTTCTTCCTGGAAATGATCCGAGCACCTTGCGTGGACTTCTGGGGGCGCCTCAAAAGCCCATTTGTCCTTTTCCTTCCCTCCCTCCCTCCCTCCCGTGTTCCCGTCCCCAGTTCTTCCTGGAAATGATCCGAGTGCCTCGCATAGAGCGCAAGCTCCTCGCATTCCAGTTTAAGCTCTCCTTCTCACGACAGGTCCGTCCGTCCCTGCGATGCGACCCCCCCTCCTCCCTTCATCGTCGTCGTATCGTAACCGCTGCCGCACGTGATCTGTTGTCCCAGGTCCTTCCTCTCTTCCGCCCTCTTCTGTCCCGTTTTCTGCTTTCCTGCTGCATACCTTCCTGGCCTGTGCCTGCCCTCGTCCCTCATCCCTCACCCCTCATTTCATCCCTCGTCCATCCATCATCCCGCAACACTCATCCACCACCACCATGGATGGTTGTTTGGTGGCATCACAGGCAGTGGATGTGCGTCACAGCATGGAGCTGGTCATACAGGCATGCAAGGAGGTGAGCCTGCTGCTCCTCCTCCTCCTCCTCCTCCTCCTCCTCCTCCTCCTCCTCCTCCTCCTCCTCCTCCTCCTCCTCCTCCTCCTCCTCCTCCTCCTCCTCCTCCTCCTCCTCCCGTTGCTGTTCAATCTTCTGCTGCTCCTGCTTCTTTTGCTGCTGCTGCTGCTGCTGTAGGGGTGGATTTCTGCTGCTTATGACATGCTCCTGGTCAAGCCATAGCTTCTGGACGTGCAGCCTCTCCCATCTGTCCTGAGCGCCCTATCCTCTGCAAATGCTCCCTGTGTAGCTGACCCGATGCTGCACGTCGCATGCCCCTCGCTCCATGCCAATGCCCCATGCCCCATGCCCATGCCCCATGCCCCATGCCCCATGCCCATGCCCCATTGCCCATGCCCCATGCCCCCCATTGCCCATGCCCCATGCCTCATGCCCCATGCCCCATGCCCCATTGCCCATGCCCCATGCCCCATTGCCCATGCCCCATGCCCCATGCCCCATTGCCCATGCCCCATGCCCCATTGCCCATGCCCCATGCCCCATTGCCCATGCCCCATTGCCCATGCCCCATGCCCAATGCCCCATGCCCCATGCCCCATTGCCCATGCCCCATGCCCCATCCCCCGTGCCCAATCCAGATCCGCGAGTCATTCCGCCTGCGTCGCATCATGCAGACCATCCTGTCTCTTGGCAACGCCCTCAATCAAGGCACTGCTCGCGGTATTCCTCTCGTTCACTCACTCACTCACTCACTTGGGCGCTTGCTCTCTCACTCAATCACTCACGCGGGTCCCTCCTGCCTCCTCGCTCCCTCTTACCTTCCCCCTCCCCTCTCTCCCGGCCCCCTCCCTTCCCTTCCCCTCACTCTCCCTCCCCTCTCCGCCCTCATACTGCCCCTCCCTCTCAGCAACATCAAGATGATCTGATCTCTGAGTCAACTCTAAAACCGCCGGCCTCCCCAACCCCCTCTCTCCCCTCTTACCTGCCGTCCCTCCCCAACCCCCTCCCCGTCCCCCTTCTTACCTGCTCTGAGCAGGTGCTGCCATGGGGTTCAAGCTGGACAGTCTCCTCAAGCTCATCTCCAACCGTCGTCCCCCACCCACCCCCCCGACCCCACCCCACCCCACCCCACCCCACCCCACCGCCCTGAGCAGGTGCTGCCGTGGGGTTCAAGCTGGACAGCCTCCTCAAGCTCACGGACGCCACGACACTCAGGGCACGCAACAGCAAGATGAACTGATCGTTGAATCGACTCAAAGACCGCCGTCCCCAAACAAACACCCCTCTCCCCTCTTACCTGCCCCTGAGCAGAAGCTGCAGTGGGGTTCAAGCTGGACAGCCTACTCAAGCCAAATATTTTTTAGAAACCCCACAAATTTCCAGCCGTAATTCCCACCCTCCCCTCCTACCCCCCCTCTCTCCACTCCACCCCACCCCGCCGCCCTGAGCAGGTGCTGCGGTGGGGTTCAAGCTGGACAGCTTAAGCTGTCCCCACACTCATCTCCAACCGTTGTCCCCACCCCCCCCCCCCCCCCCCACACCCCACCCCGCCCCACCCCACCGCCCTGAGCAGGTGCTGCGGTGGGGTTCAAGCTGGATAGCCTGCTGAAGCTGAAGATTGTTGCGAATCCTCACTCATCTCCAACCGTTGTCCCCACCCCCCCCCCCACACCCCACCCCACCCTACCGCCCTGAGCAGGTGCTGCAGTGGGGTTCAAGCTGGATAGCCTGCTGAAGCTTACGGACACCAAGACACGCAACAGCAAGATGACTCTCCTGCACTACCTTGCTAAGGTGCGTGCTGCTGCTGCTGCCTGGCCTGATCACCATGAGTATACTCTGTTTTTTTTAGGCTGGCTGCGGCTGCAGGGTTACTCCTTCACACCTCTTTCGAATACATCTGCAGGTTATCTGTGAATTTTCCTGCTCCTTACTTGTAGCTCCTCAGTCTTCCCATTCAGTTCCCACCCCTTTTGTTCACTGCACGCTCACCTCCTTCGCTCCACCCCAGCTGCTGGAGACTTGACGTCTCTCAAGCCTTTGCTGCCCCTCAATCAAGAGCCTCATAGCTGCTTGCTTGTTTCCCTCCCCCCTTCCCTGCCTCCCTCCTTCCCTCCCTCCCTCCTTCCATGTGTGCATCTCAGGTGCTGGAGACGAAGCTGCCAGAGATAGCCAAGTTCCCATCTGACCTGCCTTCGCTGGAGAAAGCACACAAGGTAAGGGGCTCCTTAGGTTCCTGCAAGGTTAGGACATCCGCTCAGTAGTAGGTTCGAAGTTAAACCTAAGATCAGGCGCCTCAGCAGGGTACCATCCTTGCCCTCCCACCAGCAAGGTTAAATCAGCGACTCATTTGCAACCACTTCTGCTCCCTTTACCTTCCCCTCCTCACCCCACCCCTCCCCCGCTCGCCTCCTGCTCCCCTCCCTCCTCCCTCCTCCCTCCCTGCTCCCACCCCGCTCCTCCCTCCCTCTCCCTGTCTCTAACCCCACTCCTCCGTCCTCCCTCCTCCCTACTCCCTCCTCCCTCCCCCCTCCTCCCTCCTCCCTCCTCCCTCCCCCCTCCTCCCTCCTCCCTCCTCCCTCCCCCCTCCTCCCTCCTCCCTCCTCCCTCCCCCCTCCTCCCTCCTCCCTCCTCCCTCCTCCCTCCTCCCTCCTCCCTCCTCCCTCCTCCCTCCTCCCTCCTCCCTCCTCCCTCCTCCCTCCTCCCTCCTCCCTCCTCCCTCCTCCCTCCTCCCTCCTCCCACTCTTCCCGCAGGTGCAAGTGAAGCAGCTAGCGGAGGACATGCAGCAGCTGACCAACGACATGGTCATGGCCGAGAAGGACCTCACCTCACTGCCTCGTCTCCGGGCTCTCTTACTCCACTTCCACTGCTGCCTCTCTCTTTGCACCCCCCCTCGCACCACAATAACCTACCCTCTCCTCCTCCTCTCCTCCCCTTACTCCCTCTCCGTTCCCCTCCCCACTCCTCCTCCGTTTCCCTCTCCCTTTCGCCCCACCCCCCTCTCCGTCCTGACCCCGTCCTTCCGTCAGGTGCAAGTGAAGCAGCTAGCGGAGGACATGCGGCAGCTGACCAACGACATGGTCATGGCGGAGAAGGAGCTCACTGCCTGCGGCTCTGATGGGCCCTGCGCCGAGGGCTTCCGGAAGGTGCGACGGGGGTTCAGAGGGCTTAGATTGATGATCCGATCAGAACTGATCCAATCTGATCAGATCAGATCAGATCAGATCAGATCAGATCACTTAGTTCCGGTCACATCAGCGCAGGTCAGACCAGGTCAGGTCATATCAGAGTGAAAGGATCTGTGTGTGTTGAAAGTCAAGATCTTCCATTCCACAGCATGTAAACACTAGAGTCCCTTCCTTCATCCCTGCTTGCACAGGCACTGGGCGCGTTCCTGGAGGAGGCAGCATCAGATGCGAGGCAACTGTCAGCACTCTATGCTGAAACTGTGAGTTTCTTGCTCTTATTTTAGGATGCAAGCAACCCCACCCTCGTGTAGTGAGTCGATTTTTGAGTCGACTCAAAAATCGACTCTATGCTGAAACTGTGAGTTCCGTGCTCCCATCCTAGGATGCAAGCAACCCCACCCTCCTCGCCAGTTGCATCTCCTCATCCTCATCATCCACCTCCACATCATTCACCTTCACCTCCAGTTCTCTCTTCTCTTCTCTTCTCTTCTCTTCTCTTCTCTTCTCTTCTCTTCTCTTCTCTTCTCTTCTCTTCTCTTCTCTTCTCTTCTCTTCTCTTCTCTTCTCTTCTCTTCCCATCTTCCTCCACCCCCTTACCTCGCAGCTCCCACCCACCCCCTATCCCCTCCTCCTTCCTGTGCCACATCTTAGTCTATCTGCTCTTGTTTTCTCTATAAAGAAACGTTTGATACAGTCAGTCACCCTTGCTGTCATTCTCACTCTCATTCTCAATCAATCATGCTCGCACTCTCGTCCTAATTCTCGTTCCAAATCTCACTCCCATTTTTTTTTCTCATCCCCATTCCCATCCTCATTCTCATTCTCGTCGTTGTCATTCTAAACCCCGAACTCCTGTTTTCATTCCCATTCTCATTCTCGGTTTGATTCCCATCCTCTCTGTCGTCCTGCAGAGCCGCAGTGCAGAGGCTCTGTCAAAATACTTTGGCGAAGATCCTGCCAAGTGCCCTTTTGAACACGGTGGGTCTCTACGTAGCACACATGCACACGCACACCCACATGCACAAGCACACGCACACGCACGCACACATGCACGTATGCACATGCACACGCACACATGCACGTACACCCACGCACATGCACACGCTCATGCAAGCACGCACGCGCACGGACATGCGTGCGTGTGGCCCCCCTAACGACCTCGTATCTTTCCTCGCTCCCCTTCTTTCCATCACCGCCCTTCTCTCCACCACCCTGACCCCAACCCTCAGCGTCTCTAATTCTCTTCAACTTTTCATGCAGAACCATAGAATGGCAGTGGACGAAATCAGCAAGCACGTGGAGGCCTTGCATTGCAATCACAAACCCTCTTCTCCTCCCCTCCAAGCTCCCCAATTCGCCCTCCTTCCCATCCACACCACGCCTTCCCTCCCCCACCCACCCCTCCAGTGACTCTGATTCTCTTCAGCTTCATGGAGAACTGCCAGAAGGCCGTGGAACACAACAACAAGCAGGCGGAGGCCTGGCAAACACAAACCGACCTGACCTCCACTTCCTCTCCCATCTCCCCGTTTCTCCCTCCTCCCTCCCACCCTTTCCCCTCTCCCCTCCCCTATCCTTCCAGTGACTCTGATTCTCTTTAACTTCATGCAGAACTACAAGAACGCTGTGGAGGACAACAACAAGCACAGGGAGGGAGGCCTTGCAATCACAAACCAGACTCCTCTTCCTCTCCCATGTCCCCGTTTCTTTCTCCCTCCTCCCCTACCCCTCCAGTTACTCTGATTCTCTTCAACTTCATGCAGAACTACAAAAAGGCAGTGGAGGACAACAACAAGCAGGTGGAGGCGGAGAGGAAGAGGCTAGAGAGGGAGCTCAAGGCGCAGCACAAGGCGGAAAGAGCCCTGTGCCACCCCACCACACCCCGACGAAGCGGCAGCAGCAGCAGCAATGGCAGGAACAACAGCATCGGCGTTCCGAACGGCACCGCCACCACTCCTCGTCGAACCCCGGGAACGCCCAGAGCAGGCAGCACGGGGGGCGCACGTACCCCCCGGGGAGCAGCAGGCAGTGGTGGTGGTGCTGCTGCTCCTGGTTCTGCCGGCACGCCGCGCACTCCCAGAGCCAGCAGCGGCAGCAGCTTTAGACGGAGCACGTCAACCAGCAGTAATGGGGATGGGCGCAGTGGGTCGTTTCGAAGGAGCTCCTCCTCTGCCACCTCTTCTGCAGACTCTACTGCTATGCCCGGATCTGCTTCTGCTTCTACCTCTGCTTCTGCTTCTGCTTCCGGTTCTAGTGCTGGTCAAGCTGGGTGTCAGGAAGGCTCTAGGGCAAGTCCAGAGGAGGCAGTGAATGATTCTGCTGCTGGTGCTGCTGAAGGGACAGAGAAACGGGGGACGTCAAGTCCGGAAGGACCAGCAGGAGCATCGGTGGGCCTGCGAAGCAGCAGCAGCAGCAGCAACACTTGCAGCAGCAGTGCCAGCAGCAGCAGGAGCAGCGGCAGCAGCGGCACCAGCAGCAGCAGTAACAGCGGCAGCAGCGGCACCAGCAGCAGTAGTAGCAGCGGCAGCAGCAACAGCAGCAGCAGTAGCGCAGCATCTGCATCCACACCCCGTTCTTCCCTGGCCCGCACCCCTCGCTCCTCCTCCCTGCGACGAAGCTCAGGGCCAGACGAGTTGTGTGAGGGCAACGGTGGCTATCGGGAAAGTGGCAGCGAGAATAACGGGAGCAGAGGGATTAGGGGAGCTGGGCCTGCTGCTAGCAGTAAGGAGGCGGGACAAGGAGGGAAGACTCCTAGATCTGGGTCGTTCAGAAGGAGCTCTGGAGAGGAAAGTATGGGGCAGCATGGGACGGGACCAGGACGGGGCAGTCAGAGTTGAGGCGTGTCTGTGCTGCTGTGCTGTGCTGCTGTGTGGTGCTGCACGGGAATCAACATGCGCACAGCTGCGATAACAAGACTGGCATGGAAGCTGCTCTGGTGTGAAAGCCGTGAAGTGCTCTCCCTACATTGCGACGGCTCAGCAAGAGGCGACTACCACTAAGTACCACTAAGTACCACTGAGTCACTGACCCCTTTACATAGTGGCGGCATGAGACGGCAACTGACTTCTAACTTGCTACACCTGGGATGGATGGCAGCCAATGAGACGCTGTGCTGTGCATTACTGACCGGCATATCTACCTCGATGATTCACCTTGAAGCGTGTTTGTTACTGACCAGCAGCTATTCATCAACAACGCCCATCATTAACCACATGCACCATTTACCCGCTTGACCTGCCCTGCCCTGCCCTGCACTGCACTGTGTGTTGGGGCTTCGCTTACCCTGGCATACCGTCTTTTGAGGCGCCTCAAAAGGCTTCGCTTACCCTGGCATACCGTCTTTTGAGGCGCCTCAAAAGGCTTCGCTTACCCTGGCATACTGTGCCCTGCCCTACCGTGCCCTGCCCTGCCCTGCCTTGGTTTGGACTGGCGTAGCAACTCGCAAGACGACCGGCATAACGGCTGACGTGGTATGGCGAAGTTGGAATGGCATGGCATGGTGGGAGGTTTTCCTCCGATCTGTCTACACATTGTTGGGGCTTTCTCTCGCCTCGCTCGCCTTCCTTGCAGGGGCAACCGTGATTTTTGTATTTTGTACAGAGTACCGGCCATCGTTACGGTATGCTCGACAAACTGCACCACCGGTACCACATGGTGTTACTATTACTTACACTCTTCTGTTAAGTTTGTTTAGCACGCGCTCTCCAGACCAGACCAGACTAACCCTGTAACTAGCACCAGTGTCACGTTGCTTGCCCTCATTTACCTCCAACGTGTGTATACATACAGTGTGTGTGCGCTTTCCTCGTGCATGTGTCCTGCTCATGTGCTGCCTATTCCATCTCCACACGGGGTTTCTATGTACCGTATTCAATGCTATACCGTATGTGCACCTTGAACACAAGTTCTATACCGTATGCCAGCTCCTGCACAACAGGTAGAGAAGGCTTGGCTTGCATAAGTTACCCACCCTGAGTGGCTTTCTGTACCAAAATAACCCCACCCCACCCCACCCACCGCCATGAACTACCGTACCCTGTAGCTCCACAGACCAAACTCTTTACTGTGCTTTCTTGGAATTGAACCCTCTTCAAGCCCTGAATGCATTGCTGGGATAGCAATTGCAACTTTGTTGCAACCTCATCTTGTGCGTCAGGCGCTGTGAGCCTGCCAGGCAGAGAACAAAATCCCTCTTCTGGGTGGTTCTTTCTAACCGAGAACAGTTGATTTCCCTCGTTACTATGATTTTCCCCTTGGATATTACCGTAAAAAGAAAACAGCAGGTGATGGTAAAACGGTTCGTCTCAGCCGGGGTCTCCCTGCCAGACAGTGTGGTGCAAGTGGATTTTTTTTTTTTTTTTTACAGTACTTCAATGCGGTAATTCCCAAGAGGCAGCAGCAGCTAGTGCGCCAGCATAACAGGCAGAGAGCACCTAGCCCATGAGGTGCGAGTCGAGCATCTTACATTTCTCGGAATTCCCGAAGAACCTACAGGTTACTATCGCAACCGGTGACCGGTCCACCAGCGTATCACGCAGAGAGCAGTTGGCCCATGTGGTGCGAGTCGAATCTCTCAAACCAGTAGTCATCGGGATACTTGATGAACTTTTGAGTTGACTTGAAGGTCGCCAGGCTGTCAATCAGGCAGAGAGCAGTTGGCCCATGTGGTGAGAGTCGAGGATCTCGATCCAGTAGCCATCGGGGTCCTTGATGAACGCCAGGCCCTTCATGCGCCCCTCATCGGGCTTCTTCACAAACTCCACCCCCAGCTTTTCAAACCGCTCGCACGCGCTGTACACGTCGTCCACCATCAGACCGATGTGGCCTGTTAGGGAGGGGATGTGAGGTGATGGGATGGGATGGGATGGGATGGGATGGGATGGGATGTGATGTGACGTGTGATGGGAGGAGAGGCACAGAGAAGTCTTAGAGGCGCCTCTCACGCGCTTTACACATCGTCCACCATCACACCGATGTGGCCTATTGTGAGACAGTGATGTGATGGGTCTTGCACTCACATTCGCTGTGCAAGAGTTTGCAAGAACTTGCAAGAACTTGGATATCACAGCTATGGCAAGAGCTCCTAAACGACGGCCTGCCCTCTCATTCACCCCAGCCCCTCTCACTCACCCCAGCCCCTCTCACTCACCCCAGCCCCTCCCACTCACCCCAGCCCCTCCCACTCACCCCAGCCCCTCCCACTCACCCCAGCCCCTCTCACTCACCCCAGCCCCTCTCACTCACCCCAGCCCCTCCCACTCACCCCAGCCCCTCTCACTCACCCCAGCCCCTCTCACTCACCCCAGCCCCTCCCACTCACCCCAGCCCCTCCCACTCACCCCAGCCCCTGGGGTCGGAGTTGCCATTGTGGTAGCCCTTGAAATCAGGGTCTGCCTCCGTGCCCCAGTTGCTGTGCCGTCACATGCGCAGGGTGGGGGGAAAGGGGGAAACGGGGAAAGCAAGATGGGGTGAAGGGGAAATGCGGGGGGTGGGGGGGAGAGGGGGGAAGGGAAGGGAAGGGGGGAGGGGCACCATGGGGTGGTGAAAGAAGAGTCACAGCAGGAAAACCAGGTGATCGACTGATGTTGATGCTAGCAACAACGCAGATGACTGGAGAACGAGGGCCTTGCTGCCTGCCCCTTCCGCCCCTCCCACCACTTTCCACCCTCCCTCCCTCCCTCCCTCCCTCCCTCCCTCCCTCCCTCCCTCCCTCCCTCCCTCCCTCCCTCCCTCCCTCCCTCCCTCCCTCCCACCCCTCCCATCCTTCCACTATTCAGGAACACGGAATGTCAGCACAAGTAGTCTCTGCAACCTGCCAGTATGAGCATCACTCACCAGCTTGACAAGCCAAGGCAACCCCAAGTACCCCCTCCACCCCCTCCTCCCCCCCTAAGGTTCCCCCAAGTCCTTCCCAAGGCGCCCCAATGCCCCCCAATGGGCCCCCAAGGAACTCTCCCCATCCCATACTGTGTGAGTTCAATGGTGGCCTTGCGAGTAAAGAGCCACTTCACCCTCTCCTCCTCCGTCTTTGGAATCTCCTCCGGTTGCTGTTCGCATGGGGAGTGGGGACAGAAGAGCGTGAGGAGGGAGACGAATAGAGGTACGAGGCCTGATATGCTTACAGGGTGAGGCATGGCGGACAGCGGCATGAGAGGTGTGAGTTGCATCCACCGTTTGAGAGCGACCATAAATTGTATGTATGCAACAATGTGACCAAGGATGATGTGTGCATGACGTCACCTCATATCCCATGAAGTAGAGGGAGAACTTTGCCTCGGGGAAGTCAAGACGCTTTAGCAGTCTGCAATAAGAAACAGCCACGTGGCAACGCAGGAAAAGACTCATGGTCACTCAAAACTGCTGCGCAGGTTGGACAGAAGTGAAAGTAAAAAAAAAAAAAAAAAAAAAAACACAAACACACACACACACGCACACACGCACGCACGCACGCGCGCACGCACGCACGCACGCACGCACGCACACACACACACACACACACACACACACACACACACACACACACACACACACACGCACAATTAATGTTGGTAGTAATGCCTACACATGACGTCCTCACTGCTGTTTCCAGCCTCTTCACTCATTCGTTTTCACTCTAAAGGCGTTGCATGACACTGCATGCCGCTCGCTCGTACCCGCTACCATACCATCCACTGCATACCCGTTCCACTCCACCCACCCACCCACCTCATGCCAAGCACAGAGGAGTAGAAGTGCAGACTAGCCTTGGGGTCCTTGATGCGATACATCTGATGCCATGCCATGCCATAGCACGTCGTGCCATGCCGTGCCGTGTCATGCCATGCCGTGCCATGCAATGCCAACCAAGCCGTGCCATTTCATGCCACGCCATGTTATACCAAGCCACATCACTCCGTAGGAATGAGGTTGTTGAAAAAGCAGCAAAGAGACAGAAATTCCACATTCTGTGCAGACGATGGGTGAAGTATACAGAAAAAAATGAAAAGTAGGGGGGAAGAGGGGACGGACATGCAAGGCACGTGTAGCTGAAATCCAATTGCCACATGTCAGCAGAATGTACCGCCTGATGCATGCAGCAGCGACTCCAGATTCACACCTCGTTTTGAGTAGCGACTCAAAAACGCAAAGACATTCCTTATCACTGCATTGTTGGTGGGGCACTGGGATCGTTCCTTAGTTGATTGTGGGAGGGTTACAGGTGCGACCTGCGGGTAACGAGTGTGCTACCCACCGTACAATCATGCCCTTTTAACCCAGTGTGTGGCAGGCTGGGTCAACATGCAAGCTGCATCTGCTGGTGACATTTCGGCCGTCTCACAAACACACACACCTCACCATACCATACCATACCATATCGCACCATTCCGTACCGCACCGTACCGTCTGCTGCATGATGTATTTGCTGGTGGCGGGGTCCACATCCTCCACCAGTCCCGGGTTATTGCTCGCTGACTCCTTCTCCACCGCTGCTGCCGTTCCCGCCGCTGCTGCCTCTGGTGCCGCTGCCATAGCGCGAAAAGTCACGCGCTGGTGCTGGGAAAGAAAGCGGTAGAGGGGGTGCTGAGGTAGCGTGGATGAGGGCAAAGCGATACCGAGGGAAAAAGGCCAGGGATGAAGGTAGAGAGGATAGAGACGCAGGAGGATTAGGGAGGCGGGCCAATGGGGGAGAACGCAGCGAGGGAGAGGTGTGAAGGAGTTGAAGAGCAATTTGGAGGTAGGAGAGGAGTGCAGCGGTTTGAATGACGATGATGAAGCAACGAAAGCATCGTCCTTACTGACCCATGCATTCCTGCAATGCTGCTGCTCTCGAGGCTCGTATCATGATGCACTCGAGCTTCGAATGATTTACCTTGGCGGATGTCGCGTGGACCAAAGCGGGCAAGGAGAACCTTCGGAGCGACGACACGGACGACCCGCGAGCCGAGTTACCGGCTGCTCGCCCGCCAATGGATTGCTGCCACGCGACGGTCGCACGAAGCGTGAGTCTGGAGGCTGCACAGGCCATGCAACTGGCGACGCGGACAGAAAACTGCAAAAAAAAAAGAGTTCGAGTGAGTTATAACACAACTGATGCTCCAAAATGATGCCTTTTGTACCTGAGAAGGTGACACCTGAGAGAGCCTGCTCGGGAGGAAGGACAAGAAAACTAGCGAAACCGTTTGAGGAGAGGCGGCTTACCACCACAGACAACCTCCCAAGCAGTGGGTACTAACGCTTCTGACAACGCGGGCTTGATTCGTGCTGAATCACACCGACAAGATACAGTAGGAGCAACAACACTACAGGATTCAGTGGGAGGAATTGGGAGATAAGGCTTGAGCTGGAGGGTGGGAGGGTCGTGAAGCACCACCATATCGCGTTCAGACTGTAGACGGATGGTCCTTGAGATTGTATCTGTGGTGTGCGAAGAGCCTGAACAATGGAAAGCCAATCAGAACGCTTGACCGAACCAGCGATGAGAGTTAGTGGCGTCTAGGAGTCTGCGATCTTTCGTCGAGTAACCAAGCATTAGTCAAATTCAGCAGCACTGACTAGACCCTACTTAGCAGAAGATGCTTTGGTTGGAAGGTGATACCAGTTCAGCAGTCCACCGGGTAATACAAATAATAACACATGGCATAACATTAATTCACTGTGTGAAAGCATCTGGATTCTAGCCTAGCTTCAGGACCGTCTCTGTCCAGTCTAAAAAAGAAACCGCTTCTCAAGTGCCCATGCACTACATTCTTATTTAGTGCCCATAAGTGCGGCAAGCTGGCTTTGCAGGTCATCCAAATCTGCCTCGGCGGGCACTGACACCACATCCTCTGCGGATGCAGAAGCCGCCACCTCGTCTGCTTGTGGCAAGGAACGCAGGAGTCCCTCTGGCAGCTGCTCTGCTTGTGAAGATGATGGCACTGCCGCTGCTTGGTTGCGTGGGATTCAATCGAGCAAGACAGGAGAAAAAGAGAAACTATTTTTGTGGCGTACTAAGCCGGATCATCATTGCACACGCCAGGAATAGTGGAGAGCACACTCTCGCACATGCACAGAACAGATGAACATCACAGACGGACACGGAAGCGTAGCCTTAAACCGACATACTCCATGCAAAGAGCAGCAAGGACTGGAAAACATGAGAGAGAGAGAACAAGGACGGGAGGTGACAGGATGAACTTGCAGAACCTGGTGGTGCCGATGCAGCAGTAGATGAAGCTGAGGCGGGAACATCATCTTCAACCACACTGCAAGGAGTCATGAAGCAATGGGGAATAAAGCAGTAGCAACAACGACACAGGTAAGTGAGGGAGAGTTAGTGACGGAGAGAAGAAGGAAAGAGGGGGGTGAGGGTTAAATTGAGGAAGGCAAGAGGTTGAACAGTGCACGTGGAACACATGAGCAACACTTGGTTTTCAACCACAATCATGCTCTGCTTCTCAGTAGAACATGTATCACGTCACAACATATGCAATCGCCAGCCCATCATCACCTGATGCTCCACATCTTCTCAGCATGCACCGGCACAGCCTCCTTGCATTTCTCCTCCTCCGCTGCAGCTACTGCCACCGTTGCCCAGGTGAGCCAACAGTCTACCAAAAACACCCCTAACCATTCCCCTCACCACCTGTAGCCAGCCCATCACAATCTGCTTGTATCACTCCTGAGAACTCTCAAAAGTAATACAAGCTAAGCCAGCCCACCATCAGCTGATGCTCCACTCGTTCTCAGCGTGCACCAGCTCAGCCTCCTTGAGCTTTTCCTCCTCTGCTGCTGCTAATGCTACTGCTGTCTAGGTGCACCAACAGGCTACTTGAAACATCCCTAACCATTCCCATCTATCACCAGCCCATCATTACCTGATGCTCCACTCGTTCTCAGCATGCACCGGCACCGCCTCCTTAAGCTTCTCCTCCTCTGCTGCTGCCGCCGCCGCTGCTGCCTCGGCTGCTTCTCGCCTGGGCCTGTCAGCCTCGTACTCAGCCTGGCGTGGGGAGAGGGGCCAAGGGACAATTAAAAAAAGGAGCGGGAGAGAGAGAGAAGAGAGAGACGAGAAGAGAGAGAAGAGCAGAAGAGAGAGAGATGGGAGCAGGAGCGGAAGGTCCAGTGAACCAGTGACATGTGGTGACCATGACCGTGCCATGTGACACTCACCACAATTTTCTGCACTGCACTGTACTACACCGCACTGCACTGCACTGTACTACACCACACTCCACTGCACTGCACAACTACAATGCATGCTGGTATCGCTCACTGCAGGGCACCTGTCGCTTGCAGCACATGTCGTTGGAACAGTGGGGGTTGGGCAGCATGCGCATGGTGGGGAAGAAATCCTTGAGCGCGCTGTAGCCCTGGGGGCCAGCCATGGGAGGGAGAGGGGGGGGGGAGGACGAAGGGCCAGGAGACAAGGCAGGGGGGATGCAAAGAGAGAGGCACCAGGGGTAGGCAAAGAGGGAAAATCTCCGTGAGTGCACTGCGCTGTAGCCCTGATGCTGATAGAAGGGAGGAAGGGCAACGAGGGTGGCGAGGAGGGAGGGAAAGAGGATGTGACAAAGAGAGAATTGTTGAGCGGGAGCATACCAGAGAGACCGAAAGGGCTAATAGCGGATTGAAGGCGAGATGAATTAGCTAGCGTCCTAAAAAGGAGCTTCAGAAAGAGATTGGGGAGTACTCATAACAAGTGAGTGAGCGTGTCTAACAAGTGAACGTGCAGATAATGTCACTGCTGCGTGGCTAAGCAGTCACACAGCGTGCATAGCATACAAGGTAGGGCGTGACGGATCCGAAGCGCAGGAGGAACTTGAGGGTGTTCTGCACGAGCAGCCCTGCAATGATGCCCATGGTGGTGGGCAGTGACGCCGCACACACACCCTCCCGCTTCAACGTGCGCTCATCCACACCCGATGCCACCACCTGCCATGCACGGTCGCAGGGTGGAAGGGGAAGGGGGGAGGAGGAGGGGGGGTGGGGAGGTGGGGGGGTTGGGGTTAGGTGGGACAAAAGCATTTACTGAGGACAAGCGGAGATAACAGGAGAGGGGGAGTGAAGGGGAGGAAGGCAAGCAGACTGAAGAAAAAGGGGTGAAAGGGTTTGAATGACAGAAAGAGTAAGTGAGAGCGCAAGAGTGCATGGGCTTGGCAGTGGACCATTTAAGGGTATGAGGAAAAGATGGTATGGGGGGGCCTTTTGAGGCGCCTCAAAAGTTGCCAGTGGACCATATAAGGGTATGAGGAAAAGATGGTATGGGGGGGCCTTTTGAGGCGCCTCAAAAGTTGCCAGTGGACCATATAAGGGTATGAGGAAAAGATGGTATGGGGGGGTATGAGAGCATGAGGGTATGCGGGCATGCGTGTTATGAGTTTATGAGCACCAGAGGAGGAGCGCAGGCGAAGCAGGCAGTTTCGCCTGGAATGAGCAGCTGGATGTGGCCCGATACTGCGTCCTCTGACACTCCCGACTCCATCCACACCTGCTTCAGCTCGTTGCACGCCTGCCATGCCCACGCACAAGCACAAGCACACGCACAAGCACAAGCACACGCACAAGCACAAGCACAAGCACACGCACAAGCACAAGCACAAGCACAAGCACAAGGACCACCGGGCTTAAAGCTAAAACGTGACATGTGTAAGTGCTGGTTCTGTTTTGCTCGGTCGATTCACCCTTTTTCTTTGGCCCTCTTCATTTGTGCTTCGGTGTCCCCTTCCTCCTCTCCCTCCTCCCCCTCCCTCTTCCCCCCCTCCCCCCCCGCTCCCTCTCCCCCTTCCCCTCCCGTGCCCCTCCCCTTGCCTCGCTTCCTTCCCCTCCCCTCCCCACTCCCCTCCTCCCCCGGATACCTGGTTGACAACCATGCGCGCCTCGTAGTTATCAACGCACGGCAGCACCAGGTCCACTCGGCTCTTGCTGCGCTCCTTTGTCCCCACCCTCCTACCCCTCCCTTTGCCCAACCCCACCCCCCCTCCCTACCTGGTTGACGACCATGCGCGCCTCGTAGTTATCAACGCACGACAGCACCAGGTCCACGCGGCTCTTGCTGCGCTCCGACGGGTGAGTCAGGCTCGCAGTGAACCGCTCAAACCCCTCCACTGTCGTGATGTTGATCGTGTAGCTCTGGGGGTGGGGGGGAAGAGTGGGACGGGATGGGGCGAGAGAAGCAGAAGGGCCCAGGAAAAAGGGGGGGAATACATGGGTGGATGAGTGAGTGAGACTCGCCGTGAACTGCTCAAACCCCTCCACTGTCGTGATGTTGATCGTGTAGCTCTGGGGGGGGGGGGGGGGAAGAGTGGGGAAACAGAGGGGGAGGGGAGCGAGCGAGGAGGGACGGGTGGGGAAAAGAGGGTGAGGGAGTACGTTGGTGGGTGAGTCAAGACTCGCCGTGAACCGCTCAAACCCTTCGACTGTCGTGATGTTGACCGTGTAGATCTAGGATGGGAAATAGATTGAAGCGATGAGTGTGGTGGCATGTGGGAGGAGGGAAGGAGAAGTGGGGGGAAGATTGTTGGAGCGGGGAGGTAGGCAAAAGCGAGTTATAGCTTACACAACCAGGTTGGGCAAAAGGGTGGAGGAGTGTGGAGAGGAGAAGGTGTACACAGGACCAAGCGCTACCAGACCAGCAGCAGACGGAGTGGAAAGGCTTTTGAGTCGACTCAAAAGTCAGCTCAAAAGAGGAGAAGGTGTACACAGGACCAAGCGCTACCAGACCAGCAGCAGACGGAGTGGAAAGGCTTTTGAGTCGACTCAAAAGTCAGCTCAAAAGAGGAGAAGGTGTACACAGGACCAAGCGCTACCAGACCAGCAGCAGAAGAGAAGCGGAAAGGCGTGGGAGAAACAGCACCCTGTCTCGTCTCCCCACACAGCGCAGGAGACGAGACAGGGAGTGAGGATCATGGGGCACGGTGAGGGACGGTGAGCAACATGGTGGGAAAGGAACCATGTAAGCTGGTCACCGCACCGCACACTGAGGACACAGCACTGAGGACTGACCTCAAGGCCAACGTCCGGGTTGATGCCTTGAAGTGTCTGCACTGCAGCGTCTGTCTTGGTCATGCCCACCTGCCACGCAGTTGCAGTGGCAGGGGGGAGCGAGGGAGAGAGAGGGAGGTGATGAGTGAGTGAGTGAGTGAGTGTGTGGAGAGCCCAACTGGGCACGGAGGAATGCGCTCTGGGTTGTAGTGCGTTTGATGACAGCACAGCAGACAACAACAGTAGCACATCAGCGCAGAGCACCCATCACACCTGCAACAGCACACCCAGCACAACAAAGCACACAGCAGGCAGCAAGCAGGTACTGGCCCACCTGGTCGGGGCGGAAGGAAAGGCGGTTCATGTTGGCGAGCTCGACACTGTCATAGTCGTACAGCAGCCGGCAGCTGTCCATTGCTGTACAGAGCAGCACCCAACACACAGCACCCAGCACCCAACACACAGCACCCAGCACCCAACACACAGCACCCAGCACCCAACACACAGCACCCATCACCCAACACACAGCACCCAGCACCCAACACACAGCACCCATCACCCAACACACAGCACCCAGCACCCAACACACAGCAACACAGAGGCGTGCAGCACGCACGCACCTGGTCGGGGCGGAAGAAGAGGCGGTTCATGTTGGCGAGCTCGACGCTGTCATAGTCGTACAGCAGCAGACGACCGATGCCACACCGCGTCAACATCTCCGCCGCCACACTGCCCACTCCTCCCACTCCCTGGTGTGTGCCGACACCACCACCAAGTAGGGAGTGAGTGAGAAAGGCAGGCAAGCACGAAGGGAGGGAGACAGACAGACAGGCAGGGAGGGAGGGAGGGAGGGAGGGAGGGAGGGAGGGAGGGAGGGAGGGAGGGAGGGAGGGAGGGAGGGAGGGAGGGAGGGAGGGAGGGAGGGAGGGAGGGAGGGAGGGAGGGAGGGAGGGAGGGAGGGAGACAGACAAGCAGGCATGTAGGCACGCAGTCAGGCAGGCAGACATGCATGGGTGGGAGGACGGATTCATGTTGTGTATTCAAACAAGGAGACATGCACGCAGTGGGGCACGGGCACGGGGTTCTTGACAGAACGCATGAACGGTGAAAGAGCGAGCAAGAGCGATGCAGCTGAGAAGAAATAACGACGGTGAGGGATGGAGGGGGGGCGGGGGAAAGGTGTATGGAAAGACGCAAGAGAGCAGAAGCCGATCCAGGGCAAGGGGCAGACCAGGTGGGGGGGAGACACGGACGGTCACACGAGGGAGGGAAGGATGGATGGAAGAAGGGGACGGGATGGGAAGGGACGGGATAAAAGGCTTTGGGAAGAACGGGGGGGTGAAGTGGGATGGGGGAAAGTGGAAGTGAGTGAGAAAGGATGTGCGGGATGGGCATACCACGATAGCGACGGTGTATTTTCGGATGTCTTGGTAATTGTGAACAATGCCCATGCGCTGCAGGGCCATGAGACGACTGTACGGGTTGCTGCTCACCACCTCTCCACTCATCTCCTGCACACATGCATGCAGGCAGACAGGCAGACAGGTACGCAAGCAAGCAAACACACAAACAAGCAGCAAAAGAAGGAAGCAAGCATGCACACAAACACATGCAGACAAGGAAGCAAATCAGTATGAAAAGAAGGGAGCAAGCGTGGAGTGGACGCATGCGTGTGCAAGCAGGGACATCAAGAAGGTGACTTTCAAGGAAGAATGCTCGATAATTGAGACAAGGCGGATGAGACGGAGTAGCATGAGTGGAGAAAGTGGCATGGGACATGGAGAGAGGGAAGGGAAGGGAAGGAAAGGGAAGGGGAAGGGGAAGGGACGGAAAGGGAAGGGAAACGGGAAGGGAAGGGAAGGACGCACTCGAAGGTCCGCCTCCGCAGCTGTCGCTTCGTCTGCTGACGTGGAAGATCCCTTGACGGCCTGCAGCCATTGCAGATGCTGCTGCGCCTGTGAACGGATGCGATAAGGAGTTGGGAGTTGATTGAGAGATAGGGTGAGGGAGATAGGAGGAGGGATCGTGAGGATAGACAACATACAAGCATAACAAATGTGGAGAAGGCGAGAAGGAGGGAGGAGAGAGGGAGCAGAAAGGAGGAAGGAGGAAGGAGGAAGAGAAAGGAATAGAGAATTAGTGATGGAAAACCGAACGGCATCTTAAAAGTCACGAGCCCGTGAAGTATGGCGGATGGACTATTCGTAAAAATAAAATGCGCAGACGAAAGAGACGCAGGGAATGGAAGAGAACCAGAATGGGATCCAGAAGCGGAATCATCTACGGGAGTCGTGCGAAAATGACAATGCGAAGAATCTACGGAAGAAGCAGGAAATTCGGTAAGAATCATAAGCGAATGCGAACATGACAGGATATCCAAGCTTGGGGAAATCTACGACGAAGCTAGGTCGCACGGACCCGTCCGAGCTCGTCGGGTGATAGTCGTGACTGGAGCTTCGACAGGAGGTCTATCAAGCCCGCCGCGTGCGACGCTGCATCCGCCATTGTTGGATATGCTCGACGATTTAGCGGGGATGGATCAGAGAAATGCTGCGAGCGATAATGCCGAATGATGGTGGTGGGGAAGTCAGGGGAAACTTTCAACAAAACATTTACACACCTACATCACTACCTTTATATGTGATTGGTTTGTTAACATATTAGTAATCGCATCGGCTTGTTTCTTAACAGGGACAAGCCCTTGATCTTGGATCTGGCTGCACGTGAAGTACCCTAGTGGTGTGAGATGTGGCCACGTCGCCACCTGCCAACAGAAAACCCCGCTGCATTCCAGCAAACGAAATGTCACGACAGCAAGTAACCTCCCACGTGATACATTTCGCGTGAAGAAACGAAACACAAAACCCATCCCCCACTGCTTCCGAACGAACCTAACGAACCAGCCGAAGCTCCGTCGCGCCACTTGCTCGGGTTTCGTCAGGCTCGTATCCACTCACTTCCTTTCCCTTGCTCTCAGAACAGCTGGTTCAGGAGAATCCCTAAGGTCATGTAATGCCTGGCAGGGACCTTGGGAACTTCAGCAGCAGTTGCAGTCACAGCTCGCTCCGTCACGATAGCAACGGCCGTGCTTCAAGGGAACTCATTGCGTGATAAAGAAGCGGGAATACGAAGGGAGGGATTCTGGAAGCGAGCAGGAGAATGGGATGGACAGGCGCTTCCCTGCTCTGCCCACCCTCTAACCATCGCTGCGCGCCGACATTACTCTCCTCTTCTTCCTCCCCCTCCTCCTCCTCCTTCTCCTCCTCCAATGGAATTACGCCAGGATATTTTGGAACACCAATCGTCCACGACAATACCAATCCCCTGCAGAGATCTTGCTCCTGGCTAGCGGCACCACCACTGGCACCGCCATGCGCAAACCGCTCTCTTGCTTCACATCCTCACCACCCTCACCGTAGCCGTCACTGTCGCTCTCACATCCTCCCCGCACTTTCCTGTCTTCCGCCGGCCGTCTTCACCAGCGCCTCGCCGTTGCTTCCCCATTCCCGCGCCAGATGCGGCGGGAGCGTAAGGAGCGCCGCACGCAACAGCAGCAGTAAGAGTAGCGGCAGGAGCATCAGCGTGCGTGGCGGGATCGTCAGCAGCAGCAGCAGCAGCAGCATCAGCAACCGTTACGAGACGCAAAGAACGAGATGCAACGCGGCGAAGCGGGCTCCCGCGAACGCGGAGAGTGAGGATGACTACGCGGGAGAAGCAGCAGCGGCGGCCGCGGCAGCAAAAGGGGAAGCCGCGCAGCAGAGCAAAATGGCGCGCGGACTGACAGCCGTGGTGCTGGCAGCCGCGCTTGTCCTAACCCCGCCTCTGCCTACCCCCGTGCTGCACTGGAGATTGGACGACTCGCAGCAGTCGCAGCTGTCGCAGCAGTCGCAGGCGGAGCAGCCGTTGGGGCAGGCGGGGCAGGCGCAGGAGGGTGAATGGGAGGCGCAGGCGCAGCAATGGCGGAGGGCAGGGTTGGGGGTGGGGGTGGAGGTGCGATGGGACGACGGCGCAGCGCATGCTTTCCTACTGGAAAAGGTATGGCCTTGCTGCTGCCTTGCTGCCTCCCTGCCTTTCTACTGCCTTGCTACTTCCTTCCTGTCTCCCTGTCTCCCTGCCTCGCCGCCTCCCGGCCTCCCTCCCTTGCTTGTTAGAGACGAAGCAGCAACCGCTTGGGTGAGTGAGGCTGACAGCCTTCACTGAAATGCGACCCATCTAGTCTGACACTCCCCCGTTTCTCCTCTCCACTCCCCTTCAAACTCATTCCATTTTTGAGACGACTCAAAAATAGACTCACTACACGGAGACTGATAGCCTTCACTGGAATGCGACCCACCTAGTCTGACACTCCCCCATTTCCCCTCTCCACAAACTCATTCCATTTTTGAGACGACTCAAAAATAGACTCACTACACGGAGACTGACAGCCTTCACTGGAATGCGACCCATCTAGTCTGACGCTCCCCCATTTTTCCTCTTCACTCCCCTTCATCCCACCTCCTTTTCCATTCTTTTCCGCCCCTCCATTCCTGGCGTGTTCGATTCTCTCTGCGCGTGCGCGCAGATCAAGACGCTGGAGCGCTCCTTGGAAAGCCTGGTCACCTCCATTAAGAACGGCAAGGTGCAAAACAGAAGCCCCCCTCTCTCTCCCTCTCTTCCTCTCTCTCCATCTATCACCCTCTCTCTCTCTCCCTCTATTCCTCGCATCTCCTCTGATTTCCTGTCTCCAGCAGCTACTCCCTTCCTCAGTCTCTCATCTTCCCTCTCCCAATCCCGCCCGCTCACCCTCTCCCACAACGCAATGATTCTCCTCCTTCCATTCGGCATCTTTGCACCTTGCTCTCCCCCGTGCTCTCCCCCATGGCCCCCCTCACACCCTCCTCCACCTTGTTTTTCTCCCTGCGCCCTCCCCTTCCCCTCACTTCCCCCTGGTCCGCCGCCCCTGCCTCCCCACAGGCACTTGACAAATTCATCACTGTGTGGACAGGCCCTCTGGTGGGTGCTGCATCCCATCCCATGCCATGCCATGCCATGCCATCCCATGCCATGCCATGCCATGCCATGCCATGCCATGCCATGCCATGCTGTGCCATACCATGTCATACCATGCCAGCGTCATGCTTCATGAAAGGACAAGCAAGGGATAGGGTGGTGCGGGAGGAATGTTACGCCATTACATGACACGACATGACATGACATGCATCAAACTGTGACTCCATCTCTGCACGACCCGTTTCTGTCTCGCTTAACTGCCTCCAGACTCCAAAATGCCGATGAATTCTCACTGACCATTCTCGCATGCCTTATTCTGCCTCTCCTGCCTCTCCTCTCTCTCCTGCCTCCCCCTTCGCCGTCTCCCCCATCTCCGCCCCTACCCCCCACCCCACCAGGTGACATCAGACGTGGTGGACGCGCAGGTCAAGGCAGTTCTCGACAATGGAGCCATTCTTGTTGCTCTCATGTTCTCTCTCTCTCTCTCTCCTCCCACTCCGCCCCGTCTCCTCCATCTCGTCCGCCCCGTCTCCGCCCCTACCCCCCACCCCACCAGGTGACATCAGACGTGGTGGACGCGCAGGTCAAGGCAGTTCTCGACGCTGAGAAGAGGGTACGCCGCCGTGCCGCCTTCTCTCGTGCTCCTCTGCCTTGCCGTGCTGCTTTCGCGGGGAGGGAAGCGAGGGGCGGGCAGGGTGGGGCGAGAGGGGCTTGGGGAAAGGGGTACAGGGCGCTTTCTTTAGTGACCCAGATTATTGCCCTTCCCTTCACTTTCGGTCGTATTTTATTGTTTATTATTATTATTATTATTACTATTTTCCCCATATTATCCCTTGCTCTTCCTAGCTTCCCCTCCCACGTTCCACTCTCTCCCTTCGCCACTCTCCCCTTTCATCACCCATCCCCCTCACCATCCTCCCCCTCTCCCTCCTCACCTCCCCCTCTCTGATCATTCTCCCTCCCCTCCACCCTCCCCTGCATCCCCCGCCCCTCTCACCACTCCGTTCCCACCCTCACCTCTCCCATCCCCCGTCTGGCATGTGCTTCCTTCCACTGCACGCATCACGGGCCCATGCCATGGGGCAGGAGGCGGGATTTAACCTGGAGCGCATTGGGGAGTATGTTGTTGATGCAGCTGCCGATGCTGCTTCCAAGGTATGCCCTGCCTGCCATGTGCCTGCAACGCATCACGGGCCCATGCCATGGGGCAGGAGGCGGGATTTAACCTGGAGCGCATTGGGGAGTATGTTGTTGATGCAGCTGCCGATGCTGCTTCCAAGGTATGCCCTGCCTGCCACGTGCCTGCAACGCATCACGGGCCCATGCCATGGGGCAGGAGGCGGGATTCAACCTGGAGCGCATTGGGGAGTATGTTGTTGATGCAGCTGCCGATGCTGCTTCCAAGGTATGCCCTGCCTGCCATGTGCCTGCAACGCATCACGGGCCCATGCCATGGGGCAGGAGGCGGGATTTAACCTGGAGCGCATTGGGGAGTATGTTGTTGATGCAGCTGCCGATGCTGCTTCCAAGGTATGCCCTGCCTGCCATGTGCCTGCAACGCATCACGGGCCCATGCCATGGGGCAGGAGGCGGGATTTAACCTGGAGCGCATTGGGGAGTATGTTGTTGATGCAGCTGCCGATGTGGCCTCCAAAGTACACCCCGTGTGCCTGCCTGCCTGCCTGCGTGCCTGCCTGCCTGCCTGCTTGCCTGCTTGCTTGCTTGATTGATTGATTGCTTGACTTCTTGATGCTTGCAGCTTGTTTTCCGCTGCTTGCTGCTTTTGAGGCGCCTCAAAAGCCACTTTCACTATCTCTCTTACCCTTCCACTCCCATCGTCATTGCGAACCACTTTTTCCCTTCGTTGCCTGCCCCACATCTGTACTGAGTTGACTCACAAGGCATCTGTACTGAGTTGACTCACAAGGCATCTGTACTGAGTTGACTCACAAGGCATCTGTACTGAGTTGACTCACAAGGCATCTGTACTGAGTTGACTCACAAGGCAACTGTTCTGAGTCAATTTCCAAGGCATTTGTTCTGGGTTGACTCAAACGGAATCTCTGCCTCTCGCTCATCTCTGCCTGCCCGGCATCGCTGCCTGTCCTTCACATTTCTCTTCTCCCCGCGCGCAGCTCTCTCGCTTCACTCTTGCAGCGGAGGGCGAGGTCTCTGCGGTGGCCGCAACAGGGCTCGTGGAGGGTGCATTCGATAAGGTGTGAGGCGGTGAGAGGTGGTGAGAGGCGGTGAGAGGTGGTGAGAGGCGGTGAGAGGCAGTGAGAGGAGGCAAGAGGAAGTGAGAGGTGCCAAGAGGCGGAGCTGGGGTGCAGATGTGGCTCTTAAAGCATGAGGGGAGGAGTCGGGAGGAGTCCCTTGGAAGAAACTGCGCTCTCTTTATCGGTAAACAATATCCTTCCCATGCTTTGCCTGTCATACGCCATCCACTCCACTCCCTCTTCTCTCCCCCTTCCCTCCCTCTTCCCTCCCACTCTCCTCCCCATTCCTTCCCCCCCCCTGCAATGCCAGTTCCTGGCGTTTGAGCTGTCAACAGTGTTCTCCCACATGCAGCGCCTTGCCCGTCACACACCACCATCCCCTCCCTCTTCTCTTCCCCTCCCCTCCCTTTTTCCTCCCCCTTCCTTCTGCCCCTTCCCTCTCCCTCCCTGCAATGCCAGTTCCTGGCATTTGAGCTGTCAACAGTGTTCTCCCACCTGCAGCGCCTAGCCATCTTCGCCCCCATTGTCGCCGCTGGCATGTGGTGGTGCGTGCGTGCATCTTCTTCCCCCAGTTTGCCCCTGTGTCGCTCGCTCCCATTGTTGCTCATCCCATCTCATCTCACCCCTCATGCCACTGCTGCTGCTACTGCTGCTGCTGCCGCCGCCGCCGCCGCTGCTGATGCTGGTGTTGATCCTCATGGTGCCGCTCCTGATGCTTCTGATTCTGATACGTACGATCGTTCCGCTGCTGCTGCTGCTGTGTGTGTGTTCATGTGGGGGTGATGGGTGGGGGCCAACAGGCAAATGCAGGGTCGGAATGTCTTCTCTTGGTGCGTACCTCTCAACCCCCTCCCTTCTGAGTTGCTCGTGGACTTCATTCATTTCTCCGAACCCAGTACATATAGACACATCAAGTACTAACACTCTATCCACCTCAACTCCTAGCTTTGTTCGGACCAACACGTGACGACTCACCACGCGCCCCCCCCCCCCATATTCTGCTTCCAATCTCCTCATTTTCTTGCTCGCAACTTATAGCGCCTCACATTCTTGCTCTCCCTTCATCTGCATTGTGCTTTCCTCCTCTCCTCCCCTCTCCTCTCCCTTCCCCCCCTCTCCTCTCCCTTCCTCCCCTCTCCTATTGCCTCCACTCTCTCCTCTCCTCTCCTCTCCCACCTCCTCTCCTCTCCTCTCCCACCTCCTCTCCTCTCCTCTCCCCTCCTCCTCTCCTCTCCTCTCCTCTCCTCTCCTCCTCCTCTCCTCTCCTCTCCTCTCCCACCTCCTCTCCTCTCCTCTCCCCTCCTCCTCTCCTCTCCTCTCCTCTCCTCTCCTCTCCTATCACATCTCCTCTCCTCTCCTCTCCTCCTCTCCTCTCCTCTCCTCTCCTCTCCTCTTCTCTCCGCTCCTCTCCCCTCATCTCTCCTCCTCACTCCTTCCCTCCCCTCCCCTCCCCTCCCCTCCCCTCCCCTCTCCTCCCCTCCCCTCCCCTCCCCTCCCCTCCCCTCTCCTCCCCTCTCCGCCCCATTCCCCTCCCTCATACCGCACCCTTCCTCCATAACAGGGATGGGAAAGAGGTCTCCCCTGACGGCAGCAGCAGCAGCAGGTCGGGAGGAGGAGGGCAGGGCGGGTGGGAGTCGGAGGAGGAGGAGGAGGCGAGGCAGCAGCGGGCGCTGCGTGTTCGGAGGGAGCTCCGGCGGATCGAGCTTAAAGCAGAGCTCAGAGACGAGCTGGCTGCTCTCGGTGAGGTAGGTTTTACATACAACTCTTCTAGGTGCCCTTAAATAGCGGGCGCTGAGAGTGAGGAGGGAGCTCCAGCGGATCGAGCTCAAGGCAGAGCTCAGGGACGAGCTAGCCGCGCTGGGCGAGGTGGGTCATTCATGCGTACAGGTGGAGTGCGGTGAAGTGGGGCGTGGTGGGGTGGTGTGTGCTGATGTGGGATGGGGTCGGGTGGCATGGCTTTTTCTTTATATGCTGCTCCATCCCCCCACCCATCCCTCCTTCGCCCATCCCCCCACCCTTCCCTCCTTTGCCCATCCCCCCACTCCCCAGCGGACGCTAAGGCCCTCATTCCCTTCTTTCCTCATCCCCCCATCCCCCCATCCCCCACCCACCCCATCCTCGCAGCGAGCCCTAAGGCCCGGCATGCCCCGATCGTCCACCACAGCAGCAGCGGAGCGAAAGGAGGTGGAGGACCTGCTGCTGCAGCTCTGCCAGCTCGGCGCCAGCTGGGCCAAGCTTCCCCGCTCACCTCTTGCTTTCTCCCCCTGCTTCCCTTTCACTTGCTCCCCCTTGCGTCTCCTTCATCCCATTCCCCCAATCCCCCATACTCTCCTTTCCTCTACCCCCCCGCCCTGCATCTCCCCCATCCCTCCCACTAACCCCATCCGTCCATACCATCCGCCCAGAGGGCTTTGAGGCCAGGCATGCCCCCTTCGTCCACGACAGCAGCGGAGCGCAAGGAGGTGGAGGACCTGCTGCTGCAGCTCTGCCAGCTCGGCCCACCTATTGGATACCTCACGGGCGGAGCAGCAGACGGAGGGGACTGGGAGGGCGGAGGGGTGCAGGAGTGGGGCGAGAGCGAGGGTTGGGATGGGGACGGTGGTGCCGGAGGTGCTCCGCTTACGCATGGATCGTGGGTGCTCATGTGAGTGCTTCCTGCTTGGGGTGCTTTGGCTGCTTTGGGTGCTTGGGCTGCTTGGGTTGCTTGAGGGTTGGGATGGGGACGGTGGTGGTGGAGGTGCTTCGCTTACGCACGGATCGTGGGTGCTCATGTGAGTGCTGCTGCCTTGCTTCGGCTGCTTTGGCTGAATGGGACTGCCGCATCTTGAGATTCACCAATCCGTGCGCCAATCAAGAGCGCATCACTTGCAAATTTCCACCTTGCAACTTCGTCTACCCTCTCTCGTCTCCGCTCTCCTCTGTTCCCTTCCTCCTATCCCCTCTGTCTGTCTGTCTGTCTGTCTGTCTGTCTGTCTGTCTGTCTGTCTGTCTGTCTGTCTGTCTGTCTGTCTGTCTGTCTGTCTGTCTCCGTATTTTCCCCTCCATCTCTCCCCTTACCTCTCCCTACTAACATTCCTCCTCCCCTCGCATCTCATCCCTCCTTCCGTTCCCCCCAACCAGCTATGCTTCATGCGACCCCGAGCCTCCTCCATCTACGGACCCGCCTCCCCTGCCGGCCATTCCCCTCTCGCCCATGCAGCTGCTGCTCCGGGCGGCAGAACTGCCGGGCGTGGAAATCGCACGGCTGACTCAGCAAATCGGATCTGATTCCGGTGGCTTTTTGACTGGCGCAGGGGGGGGAGCTGGGGGAGGAGGAGGGGCGGGAGGGAATGGGGATGGGAGGGCTGGGAGGGAGAGTGAGGGAGATGGTAGTGGTGTAGGGGATGCTCTGAGTGGAGGGGGAGGAGGGGTGGGAGCGGGTGATTCTTCTGACGTTATATCCAAAGAGTATGTGGATTTAAAGCTCGGTGCATTGGGGAAATTTCGCCTTGGCTTTTCCTCCTCCTCCTCTTCCTCCTTTTTCCCCAACTCTCAAGACTCCCAGCAGCAGCAGCAAGCAGCATCCCAGCAGCAGCAAGGGCAGTTGGCAGGGCTCTTAACGTCCTTCTCCTCGCTCTCCCTCCAGCCTCTGGAGGTCTGGGGCAACACCGTTCCCTCTGATGACCTCCCGCTGCTCACGCTCACTCTCCCCGTGCCCCAGGCGATACAGAGGGCTGTGGCTGCGCGTGCAGCCACGGCAGCGGGGGGTGAGTGGGTGACGTGCTACGTGGATGATGATTTGAGGGTGGATTGCAACGAGGAAGGGCTGTTCCTCGCGTTTGCCCGTGCAAGTGAATGAGCTAGTGAGCCTTGTACGTACTGGGTGACGTGCTCCGCGGATGATGATTTGAGGGTGGATGGATTGCAACGAGGAAGGGCTGTTCCTTCTGGCGTTTGCCCGCGCTCGTGAGAGGTTTCGTGGGACCTGTAGTGCTACACAGGGTTCAATTGTAGTTGTTCACGAAGTTGACAGGTCTTGGTGTGGTGAAGGATATGCTTTTGAGGGGACTTAGCCAGGATTCTATTACTACAGTGCACATGATTTGTCGTTACCTGATAAACTAGCCCTGCAAAACTTTCATTTCACATCAATTTTCTTTCCACTCTGTGTATGCTCAGTTCGGACTGCGCACTATCTGCTGCTGTCTTTCTTGGGTCCTGTTCTTCAACCGAAGTGCTCTCATCTCAAGGCGCCACTGTGCCGTACCACTGACTGCTCCTCTCCCAACCGGATTCGGACAGAGAGTTGAACCTACTGTGAACGCGACGGGCCGCGTAGGCAGCTTAGGTTACCCGGTTCGTGTTCTTGACATCGCGCCACGTCGGCTGGTTGCGATTCGGTTATGAGGGGGTTACAATTTACTATTAGCCCTCGTGGCCATCAATGCTGGCTCGTGGCTTGTTGATGGTTGACGAGGCTCAAAATGTTCTTCAGAAGCGCTCGTGCAGTTCGCGAGGTTTCTCGCAAGTCGCCAATTTGTTGCACGTGCACAAAAGTGCACAGGCTCACTTGAACGTGCGCACGCATGTTCAGGCATTGATTGTAAGCAGGCCTGTCGCTTGCAGGGTGTTTGCCCTGCTGGACCTTGAATTCCAGGGCTGGGTTGCCCTTGAAAACTGAAATTGATGGGTTGAAAAAATTGTGGCCCTGATTCCTTACAGGGCTGATTTCGGGCTTAGGTCTGGAGTATTAAGGGTAGATTTTTTACGAGCCCTGGAACAAAATCTTTTCGAACTTCCTCTCCCACTCCTCCACCCCTCCCCCCTAAACTCCTCCATTCCCCCTCCCCCCGTTTCTATTTTGATTGCATTCAAACCTGTCTAATTTGGAGTTGCGTGGCTGGGCCACAGATAGAACTCAACATACAACTGGTACTTGTACCAATCACAACCTCGCTCCCATCCCATGACACACACACAGTAGCGTGAACCAACATGCAGCAGCAAAACACATCTCAGATCCCCGTCATGCAGTGCACCAGCAGGCATGAATAGGTTAAGCAGCAGCAAAACACATCTCAGATCTTTGCTAAGAGTTGGAAGAGGGAAGTTTGTACGCGTGCGTAGTGAATGACGCTAACTAGTTTTTCTATTGCTAACTAGCTTATTAATACTTGCGGACTGCAGCTGTCAGCTTTGTGGTAGAAATGAGGCTGCAGAATTTTCCGCGCCAAACCTGATTTACAGGGAGAAATCAATTTCAGCCCTGAAGCCTAAAGGGCCAAATTCGCCCCGACCCTGCTAAATACAGGGTCGTACATGCCGGGCCCCCTGATTTGTCCGGGGGGGCCAAAACGAAACGACAGCCCTGATTGTAAGTCCCGTTCGGAAAACGGATCTACACGAGCGCGCAGTTCAAATGTTTGTGTTTTCGCAACAATGCATCCCGAAATTGACGAAGACTGGTAACCCTATTTAGTTCAAACTGTGTCATGAACCTGAAATCTATTTTGACACGCCCTAAGCAGATACTTCCCAAATCACATGTGCATCTGTCAGAAGTCTAGGCAGGAAATGAATGAACTAGGAAAGTGTTGGGTACAAGTATGAAACCCAAAAAGGGGCTGTACCCCATTTTGACTACCCCACTACAGCTTAAACATATATATCATACATCCCCATCGGCGAAGTGGGGGAGAGCAAAACATATATTATTTGACACACCCCCATCGGCGAAGTGGGGGAGAGCAAGGGGTCACAAGACCAGTCAAGAGAAGCAAAACAAGCTCAGGGTGGATCACAACGTCACCACACACACTGAGCACAAGCAAATGGCCACAAGGTCAGTTCACATGCAGAGGTATATATATGCAGCGACAACAACACAGTGATCTCTACCTAGCAGAGCAAGCATGCAGGTATATATTTAGATCATAGTACAAGCAAAGTCTACAGCAATTGAGGAAACGTGGGCACAAGGCCTAACAAAGTACAAAAAGGCTGATGATCACCAGACGGAAGTGTCTTGGTCAGGCCCTCATATTGGTTTGAGGGTATGCTGATGGATCAGCGTGCCCCTGCCAACCAAGTGTCCAAATCAGCATTGGTGGTTTTCTTTATACTGATATTGTCAGTGTAAATTTTTTTCCTAAACTGAACCTGCAGTGTAAAAAAACCAAAAAAAGCAGAGCTGATGCAACAGTGCATGGATGCGTCCAAAGTTACCATTGTGACAAACAGCAGCACCAATACCGCATGCTGGCTGAATCTACCACTAACAAACTAGCTCATGTCATGTCTTCATCATAAGAAACGCTCGCATCATCACCACTGCTACTGGCATCGTCATCACTCTCACTGCCATCACCTACAGAACCACACATGCCCTCGTCTAGGTCCTCCTCCTCCACCACCCGGCGGCCACTCCCCTTAACAAACTTGGCCTTGGCCCGCTCCTTCTCTGGCGCAACTTGCTCCTTGCGCTTGCTGGGGCGCCTTTTCCTGGTGCTCCGCCAGATGTCCAGCACCTTATCCCACTCCATGTCGCAGTCGAGCAGACTCATTGCCAGCAAATCTCCCAGCTTGGCGTTGCAGAGACTCGTCCGGCGCCACGACTTGATCACATTCTGGCGGGGAAACCCGCGCTCGCACTCGACTGTGCTGATAGGCAGAACAGTGACCGCAGCCCACAAACGGACTAAGTTGGGGTAGCTGGTCTGCCAGTCGTTGGTCTGCAAGATGGCCTTCAAACCTGCGTGAAAGGGCTGCTCTTCCTTGGGGGCAGTGGAGAGCACCGTGCGCAGCTCCGCTCGTGCCGCACGCTTCTGGACACCTGCGAAACGGGTTGAGCACAACCAGGGTAGAAAGTCAAGCGCACAACATGGGAATAACGCAACCACGGAAACGGCAATGCATACACGCAGGTCAGCGGGGATCTATTTCTCGCTCACCAGGCAAGATCGTGTCCCGGTTCTTGGCCTGAAAAAGATGGACGAGGCCGTGCAGGTGCTCCTTGCACTCTGCGTCTCTTGCCTTGACGCCCCTCAGCCACGAGCGGGGCATGAAGAGCTTCGCCCCGTTCAAGCGCGTCAGGTCTCCCAAGCGCAGCTCGAGGTTTTACACCAGCTCGCGGGCGAATGAGCGGCAGCAGGCGTAGCAGCCTTGCATGTCCCCGCTGCTGGTGGTGTATCCCTTGACTGCCTCCTCGTGCAGCTGGAACTTGTGTACACGGGGCTGACCCTCCTTGTCCACCCCTTCCACAGTCACTTCACGGCAGTCGGGCGAGGCATGCCGCGCGAGGAAAGCAGACAGCAGCTCGCTGGTCCCACCGCCAAACTGCTGGCCACAGTTCAGGTACCTCTGCTCCATGTAGATGATGGTCCGCCTCACCTGGGAGTGCACTGCAGTGAGGTCGACCTGTTGGTGGGGGGAGAATTGGTACACCGAAACAAAAGATAAGTACCTGGGAGAAGAAGAGAACTGCAAAACGGAACTCAACAACTCACCTGTCGCTTCTGGAATAGCAGGTTGAGCGCGTTGAGTGCCGTGTGCACATCTGCCAAGAAGAACAGGAAGTAATGAAACTTGAACGACGTTACTAAGTGGTACATTGTCTTGTCCGACTCCTCGAGCATAACGATGACAGCAGGTAGAACGCGTACGAATCGTGCGATTGCATCGCCGCGACTCAACTAGCGGACGCTGTGGATCCCCTGGACCTCGAGGTTGGTATGCGTGAACACTTCTTGCAGCTCCTTGAACTTGCGGTTGGAGTTGCTGGATCTGCCGAGATCTTCCGCCACTGCGCGGATAACCGCGCCGATTATGCCAAGCTCCGGTAGTGCCTTAGCCGCCTCCTTTGCAGCAAGCGCTTCCCTGCCACGGGTAGAAATGCACGGGTGGGGGTGTTAGAATTCGCACTGCGACATACCACGTTGCACATCTCATACTGCAACAACACCACCACAGCAACAGTTTACCTGTGTGCGATGCAGTGAGAAGCCACCACGTGCGGGATCTCCAGTCGAAGACGCCCAACGAGGCCCGTGTCGTTGCCTATCATCACAGGTGCCCCATCGGTGCTGATACCCGCCACCTTCTCCAGCGGCAGGCTAATACTATCAAGGAATCCCGTGATCTTAGCATAAAGAGATGCTGCATCACACTTCTTGACGGAGAGGTTAGTCAGAAACTCTGTGGTGACGGCATGCTCACGCAGAAAGGTTACAAACACAATCATGTGCTTCCCTTTGATGCGGTCCGTACTCTCGTCGCAGCTCAGACCAATGAATGGACTCGAATAAATCAATTCTCTCTGGCGCGCACGAAGGTTTGTCGCTATTGCGGCGGTGATCTCTTCAAATCCGTACCAGCATGGGCATCAACGCGTGTGGTTAGTGATAGCTTCACGTATATCACATCCCCCGACGATATGTACTAGAGCAGTGTCACTTACGTCGTATAGTAGGCACCATAACTGCTCTTTGGGAAGCCAGGTGTGCCACGCTGCGCTAGATGTTGGACGAGGTCGACGTACATCTCGATCGGGGCGTCGGACTTAGCAATGAAGAGTGCCGTCTCAAATAGCGCGAGCAGGCGCTCCTTCTCGACGTCTTTCACCTTCTTGTTGTCCTCAATCCGGCGGTTAGCTTTGAGCGCCGCCTCGATTGTCCTCTGTCTGCGCAGAGCGCGGCGGTGCTTCCTTGTGCATTGATGCTTCCGCATTGCCTGGGTCTGCACATCGGTCGCCCCTTCTCCTTTGGCGCCGAAGTTCGTGCCCACACCGCCGTGCGCAATGCAGACCGAGCACTTGATTGACGGGAATCTTGCACTCGTCCGACACAGAACAAGCCACGGATA